GTACATTAGCAAAATCTGATCTACAACTATAATATTTCTTCATTGAATCGATGTTTCGAGGCTTTGGACCACAACTGCTGGCATCATTCTTCTCTTTAAATTGAATCAATATAGTGTAGGACAAAACTAAATAATCATGTAGGTAGATAAACTCTCTGCATATTAATGATAGACAGTTATAGCTGGCTTTACTGTCATATTTCATTTTCATGTAAGTCTAAATCCAAGCGCTAAAACTTTTTAACCTGCAATGACCAGACCCCTTATCTTCCTGGTGTTTTGAACCAAAAGTAATGGTTTCAGCTTTCAAGTGTCGATGGGTGCAATAACTTGTGCCGTCTAGCGACTAGCTAGCTAATTTTGGGGACCAGATCCACATTGGTAAAGCTAGCAATATTGCAGTAATATCAAACCGATAAAATCTGAAAAGAATTCTGTGGTAATATAGACATAGACACGACGACATCATATGTAAACGGTCAGATTTATGTGGCCTTAATTAATTTTCTCTAATTTCTTCGTGAAAATGACAAACTTTGCTCGCCTTATGAGTTCAATTTTCTTCATGGTAATGGTAACACCTCTTGACTGTGAAATAAGGTCCTCTAGGGGTTTTAACCTGAGGAGAGGTTTGGAAACCTAACATATCACTATAGATTATAATGATCAGGGATTCAGTAATACAGATGATTGGTGGCTTTCTTGCTAGCACTAGAATTTTCAACGTCACATGGATTCAATTAGGAGGGTCTCACCTAAACGAGAAGGACAATTCACTAAGTGCTAAGGACACACTATTACCCTACCACTCTATGCCCTACTCGTAATTTGTTTGGAGCGGCTTTTATAGCTTCCAGTCAAGTGAGCATTAGGAGTAGGACGTGAGCTGTCTCGGCCACTTGAGAGTTCATATACAAAATTTCCCTTTGGTTGACAACAAGGCTTCAATCTTTGAAGGTGACTTGTAATAGTTTTTCATGGATAAATAATATTAGAAATTAATTTGTTTGGGGCACAAGTTGCCATTGGCATTTTTTCAGTTCGTATTCTCTATAACCCAACAAGCTAATTTGCGTGTTGGAGAAATTAGTATTGGGTTAGAAGTGCAGCTGACTTCAACAAATAGATGAACATTGCTCATATTGATCTTTCTAAGAAAATTTGATCGAATTCATAAGAGAAGAAATATATAGATGAGCATTGCTTTATTCAAATCCAAAATAAGAACCTGGCTTTCTCCACTCTATCTAATATGAAAATATTCTAGCTCGCATATTTACCTTAAGTTGCAAGTTTCTATACATGTAGATCCATTTTGCTAACTATTTAAGAAAAGTTGGTGTCGTGAACAAGAAAATGGCTTGTAGTTTATGCCAATGCTTTAAGTTTTGTATCTCTGGATGAATGACACATGACTTTACATAATATTTATATTGCTAGACTACAATTCTTTTCTTCAATCTAACTTTTGGACTTCCATCCATTAGGGATATTCCTATCCCACCAATAAAGCCTAATGGACTCTAAACCTCTGGTTTTCAATTACAATTTTGTCCAAATAAAATATATAATAGCATATAGTATTAACTAATTAAAACAAAAACATATTGCTAATGTTCATATTCAAAATAGTTTAGCATAATCATATATCAAAAGCCTTCAATTGATAGTTAGATCATTACTTATGAAAACGAAACTCCCTATTTATGTTTTGGGACATACAATTTTACATGCAACAACACTTATTTGTATTAAGTCAACAAGTTTTCATAAATTCTCTCCCCTTCAATTCATTTCCGGTCATGAGCCTAATATTTCTCATTTAAGGATTTTTGGATGCGCAGTGTATATCCCAATTACTCCTCCACAACGAACTAAAATGGATCCTCGGAGGAGATTAGAAATATATGTTGGATATAAATCTCCTTCTATAATTAAATATCTTAAATCATTAATAGGGGATGTTTTTATGGCTCGATTTGTCGACTATCATTTTGATGAAATAATTTTTCCAACATTAGGGAAGAAAATAAACAGAATAAGTAGTTGGAAATGTTGAAAAAAGAAATTACGTGGGATACTTCATCTTTATATCATCTTGATCCTCGTACAAAATAATGTGAACTTGAAACTTAGAGGATAATTCATTTGCAAAGTCTTGCAAACCAACTACCGGATGCATTCTTTGATCCAAAGAGAGTAACTAAATTATATGTTCATGCCGAGAATGTTCCCATTAGAATCGATGCTTTAGTAGGATAACCTATTAATGTTATAACAAATGAATCTAAAGCACGCTTGAAGCGTGAAAGATCAATCGGTTGTAAAGATAAAAATTTTCGAAAGAAAAAAAGGAAAACTATTTAAGATGAAAATATAAAGGAGGTAAATAAAACGATATATGATACTTTTGATAACAAGCTTCCGGAAGAAGCCCAAATGTTTGAGAAAAAATCAAGAAAATTCGATAAATTATGTTAATATAAGGAGAAAATAGGATCGAAAAGAAACATTCGTTGATAATATTTTTACATATAATATTATAATTGATATTTTGAATAAGGACCTTGAGCCTAAATCTATTGAAAAATGTCAGCATAGAGATGATTGACCTAAGGAGAAATATGCAATCCAAAAAGAATTAAAGTCTCTCACGAAACAAGCCGTTTTTGGACCCATAGTTAAAACACCCGAAGATGTTAAGCTAGTAGGATACAAATAAGTATTTATACGAAAACGAAATGAAAAAGATAAAATTGTGATAAACAAAACAAGACTTGTAGCATAAGGGTTTTCACAAAGACTTGACATTGATTATGATGAGACATATTCTTCTATAATAGATGCAATTACATTCCGATATCTTATTAGCTTGACGAGCATATGAAAAACTAAATATGTATTTAATGGATGTGATCACAACCTATTTATATGGTTCACTTGATAATGATATCTATATGAAAGTCTCGAAGGACTTAAAATGCCCGAAGTATGTAAAATACATTTTTGAAAGATATATTTAATTAAATTACAAAGATCTCTATATGGATTAAAACAATCTGGACGCATGTGGTATAATCATCTTAGTGATTATTTATCAAAAGAAGGTTATCAAAATAATCCAATTTATTCATGTGTCTTTATAAAGAAATTTGAAAAGGGGTTTATGATAATTGTTGTATATGTTGATGATTTTAATATAATTGAAACTCTTAAAGAGATTTTAAGTGCAAAAAATTATTTAAAACAAGAATTTGATATGAAAGATCTTGGAAAATAAAATTTTATCTCGGCCTACAGTTTAAACACTTATAAGATGGAATCTTTATTCATTAGTCAACATATATAGAAAAAGTACTACAACGGTTCTATATGGATAAGGCTCATCCACCGACTAGTCCAATGATAATTCGTTCACTTGACGTCCAAAAGTACCCTTTTCGACCTCGAGAAGATAAGGAAGAACTTCTTGGTCATGAAGTACCATACCTTAGTACAATTGATGCATTAATGTATTTTACTAATAATACCCGACCCGATATAGCATTTTTTATAAATTTATTAGCAAAATATAGTTCTACTCCAACGCGAAGACATTGGAATGAAATTAAACATATACTACGTTATCTCCGAGGAACAATTGATATGGGCTTATATTACTCTAATAAATCAAAGATAGGATTAATTGGTTATGCGGATACATGTTATTTATTTGATCCACATAAAGCTTGATCTCAAATTGGTTATGTATTTACATATGGAGATACAACTATATCATGGCCTTCTATGAAGCAAACTATAGTTGTCACGTCTTCAAACCATGCAAAAATACTAGCATTTCATGAGGCAAGCTCGATAATTTATTTGGTTAAGATCAATGACCTATTATATTCGAGAGACGTGCGGTTTATCCACTAGCAAGGAAGTTCCAACAATCTTATATGAAGATGATACTGCGTATATAGCTCAATTAAGGGAAGGATACATCAAAAGTGATAGAACGAAGGATATATCACCAAAATTATTTTTCACACGTGATCTTCAATGGAATGGTGACATTAATATTCAACAAATTCGATCAATTGACAATCCAATAGATTTGTTAAATAAGGCATCACCTACCATAATTTTGAGAAGATGATTCATAAGATTAAAATGCATCGTCTTAGAGATCTTAAATAATGTTTTCAAGAGAGGGAGATCAATATGAAGATTAATGTGTACAAGGAATATTGTACTCTTTTTCCTTCACTAGGATTTTTTTCTCATTAGGTTTTTTCATAGTAAGGTTTTAGCGAGGCATGTTCCTTGTACAATGGACATTTAATGAGGAGTATTATGAAATAATGAATATCCATATCAATGTTCATCTATTTTTCATATCCTCATTACTCATGATTCTTAATGTGATTCAATTCATCATTTAATATGAGAAATTGAAAGAGTGATGTAATTGATTCAATAATTTATGTACTTTTAGTTATCCATAGTCTCGTCTAATTCTCTTCTCAAGTTTGAAACCTATAAATAGGCTTAATTGTTCATTAGTTGATGTACAAGTTTTTTAGAAAGATTAAGAGAACAATTTGAAGTTCTAATCACTTGTATTCACTTTATAGTGAATTCTTTTTTTGTCATCCTTTCCTTCAATTCTTTTATTATTTTCATTTCTTTCATAACACTTCGTTATGATTGATTAAATATTTGAGTAATTATTAAAAAAAAAAACTATTTTCGTTGAGAAAAAAAAAGTCTTCTAGTTTATATGCCAATACTTGAGTTGTTTTTTTTTTTTTTATAATAAAGAAACACAATATTTATATAGTTAGACTATGAATTCTTTTTTTAACCTAACATTTCCACTCGTTACATTAAAAGGATATTTTTACGGAACCTACAAGAATTAGCACAAGTGGTAAGATTAGAGGAGGATAGATTTGTGAATTTTGAACTCTTAGTCAATTAATTTCGGGTATCTAGTGCTTTCAGATTAGCACTAAATGTGCAAATCGAGTCATCCGAAAGAGATTGAAAATAAAAAATATTGCACTCGTCACTCGGGGAAATCATATCCTTCCATAGAAGGTGATAATTAACCCTTCGAGGCCTGTGCAAAGAATAACAAAGAATTTTAGAGTGTAAAGGAAAGCATCCGGCCGAATAGTTTGTGTACACAAAGTGTTTTAATTGCCATATAGCATGACAATGGAACTAATATGTAATAGATATTACGACGTAATTAATAATCGCATATTGTTGCATAAGGTATTAATTTGAAGATCAAAATTTTAAGTGCCCGGGTGGTATCCAACCAGCTCCAACAAGTCTAGCCATGCATTTTTGGTATATATTAAGGATGACAATGGATAAGAATCGGACTCATCGATTAGATTTTTTATGCTATTCATAAAAGGAATATTCGTGTATTATCCATTAAAAAAGCATCATATAAATTTTTATCCAATCCATACTTAACTTATATTAGTGTACCGACCTATTTAATACTCATTAAATTTAATTTATCAAAAATATTTATTTTAATCCTCGTAATTTTCTTTTTTAGATTTTAAAATTTATTTATTTATTTGAATTTTGGTCATTTATTTATAAGTTTTTTGGTTCTCAAAGTTTTTGAAAAATAGATTTGATTCTTAATTTTTAAATTATTCTTGCATGTTAATAAAAAATTCTAAATAAATAAGTGAGTATTGATAGGATAAAGAGTATGTACCCATACTGCGAAATCATATTAGTGGGTATATATTTTTTTATCTTTATCTTTTTCAATACCTATTAAACATTTTTAGTGAATATTTATTAAACCATGGAAAATGAAAACCCATTTTATATCCATCCTTTGTCATCCCTAATAATTATATTTGTTAACTTACTAATTGTTATTCTTTCATAAATTGCATATTTGTGTGTGTACCGAAGTTTTGTTATTCTTTCATAAATTGCATATGTGTGTGTACCACGAGTAGCAAAATTGCAGTTGTAACTTGGCATGTGTCATCCAACGAATCGAAGTAATTGTCTACATGTGATCACACTTAATTTGATGATTAAGCCATGATTGTCTTCATCCTTTTTCCTTCTTGTTTTTGACTTAGCTAAGAAAGAAAAAAAGAGGCATATATAATTCGTCTTCTTTTCCTTTCTATAATAATACTAAGTTTTCATGGCTAGTTTATTTTAATCGGTATCATGTCCATTAAAGCTATACGAGCTCGAATCGTTCTTGAATGTCTTCTACATTTGTTGCCGACCTCGTTAATTGCATTCCAAAGTTCTTGGCACCTAAATAAAACTAGTCTCCCTAATTTTCATTTCCAAAATTCCGCTCTCCGTCAACATTGTATATATAGGGACCTAAGTTTCTTTCGTATTAACTAGTTAGATACCCGAGCTATGTTACGATCAAACAATCGTTATTTATGTCGGATTAACGATTCGTATGGTACGGTGCGAATGAAAGTTTTATTTTTGGTGATTAATGTAAATCGAATCTATATATTGAGCGAAATCATTTGATTTATATATATTTATTAACAAAATATTTAATAATGTTAGCATAAACATTTGTATTTGAATAATTAGAAGGTTCTTTCAAAACATTATCTAACTTATTTTATTTTTTTAAAAAAAATTTAGAATATGAAAAAATAAATAACAAATAATTGGTAATTGGTATTATGTGTGCAAATATATATTTAACTTCTAATAAAACTACACACACACACACACACTTACTTAATAGATTCAAAGTATATGGAATATATAGAAAAATATACAAAAAAAACACCTAAATTGTATGAAATATAATGAAATCAATAGATTAAAATAAAAACTACAAAAAAATTGATTTCGATAAATTTTGAATAAATATATATATAAAAAAACAGAGTATATAGAGTAAATAGAAAAATATACGAAAAAGAAATCAACCTAAATTGTATGAAATAAATTGAAGTCAATAGATTAAATAAAAAATACAAAAAAAATTGGTTTTGCTAAATTCCAAATATATATATATATATAAAGAAAATACAACTTGTGATTTTTTAATTGATTATTATTTTAAAAAAATTAAGTCAATCTATCTAAAATATATTTTTAGCTCTCTCTCTCTCTCTCTCTCTATTTATATATATATATATATATATATATATAATTTATAAATTATAATAATATATTTTTAAAAAATAAAATACCGACGTTCTAAAATTTTATTCCAAAATTCATGTATTAAAAAATCAAATTTATTAACAAATAAAATTATATCAAAAAATTAATTTGATGAGAATTTTAATAAGAAACAAATAATTGAAGAAATAAATTTTATACAATAAGAGTAATATGATATGATATATATGTTCAAACTAAAATTTTAAAAAATATCATATATATTCTATCATCCTCAAACTATACGTAAAACTAAAAAAATAATGATTTATTTTAATATTTTTTCACACCTAATTTCATGATAATATATAAATGAAGAAAAAAAAAGGCTAGGTTCGCTAAATTGTATGAAATATATCGAAGTCAATAGATTAAAATAAAAACTACAACAAATTTGATTTTGATAAATTGCGAAAAAATATATATAAAAAGAAAATAAAACTTATTAACTTTTTTAATCGATTATTAATTTTTTAAAAAAATTGAGCCAAACTATCTAAAACATATTCTCAGCTCTCTCTCTCCCCCTACACACACACACACACACACACACACACACACATAATCAAAATTTATGAATTATAATAATATATTTTTTAAAAATAAAACTCATGTTCTAAAATTTATTCCAAAATTTATATATTAAAAAAATAAATTTATTAACAAATAAAATTATATCAAAAAATTAATTTGATGAGAATTTTAATAAAAAATATATAATTGAATAAATAAAATTTAAAAAATAAGAGTAATATAATCAAATATATATGTCGAGATTAAAATTTTAAAAAATATCATATATATTCTATCATCTTCAAACTGTATGTAAAATTAAAAAATATATATTTTTTATATTTTTCATACTTAATTTTATGATAACACACACACACACACAAGTGGGATAGGCGCGAGTTGCCGGGATTGGCCGAAGTGCCAAGCAGCCTAGGCCGTTCCACCAAGGGCACAAAAAAAAAAAAAAAATTACCACAATATATAAATAGTGACAACCCAGATCCTTTAGTTTTTTTAGTAATAAATAATCAAAGTTTTACAATGGCAACAGCTTAGCAAATTTCCTTTGGATGAAATCCTATTCTTCAGGTTTGCAATGCAAAAACCTAGCAATGGGCATCATGCAAGGTTAACCACACAGTACTGCTCTAGTTAATTTGGTCATGATATATGTATCGGTGACAATGGATTTTCAATGCCACCATGTATGTTTAAGACAAAGTAGAGGCTATAGCTAGTTAATGTCGCGATCACAGAAACCTTTCAGGCATAGTAGTCAGCATCTTTTTCGTTGTTGGCATGTATTCTTGTCAAAAGTTTCTAATTTAAGCAGTTGGTTAAGAGGAATAAATTGAGATTCTTCCACTCATAATGAAACATGGGAAGACTATATAACTGAAAGCATAACACTCAACTAAGAAGTTCTTACACATGTCCATTTTTTGTTCCTTCCCTTAAAAATGAAAGAGACTTCCACAACTTGATGTCTGTGCATTTAAGCTAACCATGATAAGATGGTTACTAAATATTGGAGACAAAAATGAAAAAGAGTTAAAGGTAATCACATTTAAAGATGTACTTCCATTAGTTGATCTTCAACGAGAGTGAATTCCTTTGCTCAAAGGTGTAGAATTTAGAATTCAAAAGCTTCTTCAATAGTAGCATTTCACAATCGATGGAACCGTAGCAAATGGGAATATGGCAAGGCTTTTTTAAAGCAGACCAAGTTTTGACAATCAATATTTGTCTATCTTTTTCAAGAAAGCTTTAACTAACCAAGACTTTACGACAGATTGATAGAACTGAAATAATGATACAATTCTAATTAACAAATTTAACTTAACAATAGAGGTTAATGCTCCTTCATGCATTCACTTTCAACTTCTTTGCTAGGCCTACTGCATTCTACTATTCGATTGTTATTTGGTCTATCTAAAATTGCTCCTAGGCTGGAAAGTTAGAAACAGACGACGAGTTACCAATAACAAGCTGGCTCCTATGTCAAGTTTTTATTAATATATACGGTTCGAGTCTTAAAATTATACTTGATCAGAAGAGTTATATCTAATCGTTTTTATCTTGAATAAAATTAGTTTTATGTTTAATATAAGATGAAAATACTTGAGCAAAAAATATATATAAACAGATGAATTTTAAACAATTGAATATGACCATTTTCAAAATTTATACCTGTTTATGCTTTGGTTGTTTAAAACTTTTATCCGTCCAATAAACTATGTGGATTCTAATGTTAGGTTTACTCTAGGGTTAAGATTTGAAATTAAGCACCGTATTCAAACTCAAAAAGAAAGAAATGATAGGGATTTAAGAATTAGAGAAGCGTAAAGGACTAGCCCCTTGTCTAATCCAAGACTTATAAGTATTGACCTTTCATTGAATTAACAATCAATTTCAATTTGATGTTACTATGTCTGAGTGTTATATATATATATATATATATATATATATTGTTAGGATAAAGATTAAAAAAATCTCAAAATCGAGAGCCTAATTGAATTACCAAAAATTACCAATCTTCTTTAAAGGGTTCCATTACGGGACCTATATGAATATGAAATGTGGTACTAGAGTTGAAAGCTCGTTGTTATTCTTGCTTTTTTTCATGTATTTCAATTACAATTTATCAATCAAAATAGCTGCATACTGGGTTTTTTTTTCTTATCAAATTTTAAATGCAAGCAAAATGTGGTTTGCAACCTAAAAAGGGAAAATATCTATTAAAAAAATAACAATAGTAATAAAATAAAATAAAACCAAGAGATAGAATCCCAAAACGCAAACCGAAACAGCTCTCCTCTCTTCCTCTCCCTCTTCTTTGGTCTCACGAAATTATGGCTTTCTCATCGAGCTCAGCCCAGATATGCCGAACATATACAAAATTGTGTTGCCAGCCCACATAGCACCCTTTTATAATCATGTCATTTTAATAAGGCTTAACCGTTAGTTCAAAATAATAATAATAAGGCTTAACCGTTAGTTCAGAATAATAATAATAATAATAATAATAAGGCTTAACCGTATAGTTTGTTATTACCTTTGTGTTCAGTAGCCAATTTTGTTCATGTGTTTCATATTCAATCAACCCTATAGTTTGTTATTACGTTTTTGTTCAATAGGCATTTTTGTTCATGCGTTTGAAATTCAATCAAAATCTCTTTCTATTATTCAATTGAATTCAGTTATTAACTTTTGTTTGAACCAACGTTAATTTTGAATTATATAGTATTAAATATATCTAGTTAATTAGTGAGTCAAAAAAAAAAATTCGAATACATAACAGATAAAAACGATGAAACAACAGTAAAATTTCATTTAATTTCCCACTCTTTCTTTACAAAAATTTAAAACCCCAATTCACCACCCTCTAAAGGATTAATTAAGCCGATTGATGAAGAAATGTTATCGGTTGCACTTGATAGTGGGCTTTAACTCCAAAGCCCAATCCAAACAATATAGAAAACCTTGGGCCACTCTCCCAAGTCCATCTGAACACCTGCCTCATTAAGCGAAAGCCAAGGGCAAAATCGTAACGAAACTTCTGCTTCCTATATTTTCAAAAACTTTCTAAATTGTTAAGGCGGTTGCTTTGGCCTACCAAATAACAGAATCTGGTATCACTAAAATCCCCATCACCATTCGCTTTCTTACACAAAAAGCCTCACTGAACATCTAGTAAAGCAACCAAATATAAAGGGCAAAAACGTAATTAGGTTGATTATCACCGGGTCCACTTCCACCCCATTACTCCACCCACCTAATCCAAGTCAACGTAAGTCAAAACAACTACAGAAATGAAAACTCCAAACGGCGCCATATTATATGCTCTCAAAGGACAAAACGTCGGCGTTTTAACGGGACATGTTGGTAATTCTAAAGAAACCGTTGTCCAAAACCGGAAAATGGAATCCGGAACATCAGCCCCAATGTTACTGTTCCCGTTTTGCAGTTATGCAGGTCGGTATTTTGCACAAAATTAAAAAGAAAGTACATTGTTTTTTCTAGAGAGAGAAACAGCAGAAAACAGAAACCTCAAAAATGGAAAATCAAACTGAAAACAACAATGATGCAATGAGAACAACAGAAGGGGAGAGAGGGAATCGGATGGATTCGCCCACAGGCGGAGATGGTGGAGCTGAGGCAGGTGAGCTCGGTGGCGGAAGCGGTGGAAAAAATGGTAAAGTGAAAGGGCCGTGGTCACCAGAGGAAGATGCAGTACTGAGTCAACTAGTGAGTAAGTTTGGAGCGAGGAATTGGAGTTTGATAGCGCGAGGAATACCAGGGAGGTCTGGGAAATCTTGTAGGCTTAGATGGTGTAATCAACTTGATCCTTGCCTCAAGCGCAAACCTTTCACTGGTATAATTCCAAAATCAAGTCACTCCATTTACTATTTCTTTTATGTCTTTGTGTTCGTTTGTGGGTTTTGGATTTTTTTTCTCCCTCTTCTGGTTGATTTTTTTGTTTTCTTTTTTATAGATGAAGGTAGATTTTTTTAGTGTTTTGTTAAATGTTGGGAATTTAAACCGAACTTGAACTTGTCAGTTGTTTTGCTTTTTATTTATTTTTGTTGTCCATTTAAATTTGCATTTTTATGTGTGTGGATTGTTAAATTCTTCATAGGGGTTTTGACGTTATGATTGATTTGTGAATTTTAAGCTTGTTTCAATAGTAGTTGTAGTGTGAAAGAGTGGATTTAAAAATCCCTGATGTCGAGCATTGATCTTTTGGTTATTTTTGGGTTGTTAAATTGAGTTTCTAAAACCTTTGAACATTGAGATCGGGTTGTATGCATTCAAGTTTTATGTTTGGTTTTAAAAAGCAGCGGCCATGGAGAGCAAAGTTTGTTTTGGGGTTGGGGTTTATTATGATTAAAGGATTGTCAACTTGACAATCCTTTAATTACAGTCACCCTCTGTCAAGTTGACAATCCTTCAATTACAGTCACCCTCTAGATGGCTTATCCTCTTTACTTTTAACAAATGTTGTAGGAGTTGCCCCGTGTTTGTTCTCTATTTGTTTAGTTTCTTGGGCTTTTGCCCCCTTCATTATCAAAAAATAAAAAATAAAAAATAAAAAAGACTTGGCAATCAAGTTGATGGCATCTGAGGTGATGCAATGGCAGGCTCAATCAGATGTCAGAACACTCAAAATCTGTTTCAGTCTCTGGTAAGCACAGTTTACATAGGTAGTTGAATAGGCCCATCCTGTTCTATATACCATTTTGTTTATCAGTACTCGTCATACAATAGAAAAGTGTAGTCATGTAGATATGTGAAATTTGTCATGCCCCACTAGTTGTGATGGAATTGGTATGGTCTTGCTTTCCTACTCATTTTAAAGATGGTTCATTTTTTTTTTTATTAAAAATTGTTTGCTTTCCTGCTAGTTGTGATGGTTTGTTTTCTTTCAATGTGGCTTCTTCTCAGCAGTTGTTATTCATGACATGAAAAAGAGGCGTTATTTCAATGTGTGAATTATTTGAACTCAATGGTTTTCGGTCATTTAAATGCTCAACAGTAGAAGCAAAGGGGTGCTTAAGTGCCTGAGATTTGATTACAAGACATGTCAAATAATCATGTCCAACCAAGCTCGAGCTTTGTTACTCCCCATTGCTTGGAGATGCCAATTTCTTGATGATGTTGTTTTGCACAACTTGCATTTGTTAAGTTTATAAACGAATAAGGTAACATAATGTAACAGGATGTTCTGGCTGTTACAATTGGTTGTCTCTGATATCTTCTTTTGTCATTACAATTTTTTGCCGCATACTGATATGGTGCTTAATTTTTTCCTTATCAAGGATGTTAGGAGATAAACAATTTATGGCTAGGTAATGTCTGGTCTCAGAAGTGAGTTAGGCTTAGGGACTTAACCAGTAAGATGACCTAGTTAGGTTTTGATGGGATTACCCTTTTGGTTTTAAATCTGGAAGCTGGCGTAGGATTAGATAGCACCAAGCAGGATGTTGCCTGGAATGTGTATCTTGGGGAAACTGTTCATAATCCTGGTAATCAATTACAATGAAGAAGAATTTACCTAATCACATTCTTATTACTATTTGTTGTTTAGTCACGTTTTATCCAAATTGATGCCACAGGATACTTCTATGTACAAGCAGTTTCATGAACTTCTGGTGTGCAATAGTTGTTCCTTAGGTGATGCGTCTATACAATGATGGAAGTGTGATAATGTCACAGGTTCACAGCATGTGTGAGATGCTTGAACTTTAAATGATAGAAATACTACTCAACTGTAACACAAACAAACTTTAGCTAACCTTTAGGATAGAAGGAAGATTTCTTTAGCTAAGATATTCTTGCATTGTGCTTTTTTATTCATTTGTGCAAGTATAGTTATGCAAATTCCCAATTCTCATTGACGATTACACTCTGTCTGAAAGTGATTAGTTTTTGGTTATTTTTTAAAATGAGGGTGATTTATTTTTATGTCTGTAAAATTTTGTGGTGGTTGCACGCCAAACTTCATGTTCCTAATCAGTACAGTGGTACCTAAGATTTTCCATGCATTGAAACTTTAGTCCCTCTGTACACCATCATTCCCCAGTAAAGTATTCTCTGCAAGGACACTGTTATGTAGGTTGTCAAAACAAGAATTGAGTTTAACTCTATTAAAACCTCAGGGACTTAAAAGATTACCTTAAGATTGTTGAAATTTGAACATTTAGGCCTGTCCAACTTTTCCTTCTTTCAAAATTTTCTTGATGTTAGGGTCTATTACTTGTAGCAAGGGTGAAAGCCTACAGCCTTGCAATCAGAAGGTGCCACTGTAAGTGTATGGTTGGAATGTCCGAATACTCTCCCAAGGGATGATAACTGTGTGATGACGTTTTGGGCACTCTTGATGTTCTTTGTTCATGTTATTATAATCAAGCTCAATAAAACTCACTACAGAGCTCCATATTTGCAAAGTAACTTATTCGTGTGAAGTCGTTTGAATTTCCTTTTCCTCCCTCTTTTTTTTTTTTTTTTAATTTGTAAATATTAATTTTCATGTGCTGCATATGTTGGCTATTGGTACAGAGGAAGAAGATCGACTTATAATTGCAGCTCATGCAAAGCATGGAAACAAATGGGCAGCAATTGCGAGGCTCTTGCCAGGCAGAACCGATAATTCGATTAAGAACCATTGGAATTCTACTCTAAGGCGCCGATGGGCAGATCTGGTAAGGTTGAAACCAGGAACCAGTGATGCAATGGAAGATGGTAGCAATGAAAGAACAAGGGCGTCATCAGAAGAAACTCTTTCAGTTTGTGATGTCATTTCATCCCAGCCCCCGAAGTAAGAAATGTCACAATGGATGATCAACCCAGCCAGCATGAAGACAAAGCTCAAGCAGACAACATTCCTCAAACAAATGAGGTCAATGTTGCAACAGAACTAAATGGAAATCCCACTCTTCCTCGTCCTGTGGCACGTGTTAGTGCATTTAAAGTTTATAATCCCCCCACTGGTCTGAAATTGGGTTCTGGGCTTACAAGAACAACTCCACCTCATGGCCCTTTGGTTCAAACGCCCAAACCAGACTTGGGATCTTGCAATTTCCTTGAAGATGTTCATTGTGAGCCCATAGTTCCTTCGCGATGTGGGTATGGTTGCTGCGCAACGCCAAGCGGGGGTCATCCTCCAAGCTCTTTGTTGGGGCCTGAGTTTGTTGAATATGAGGAGACTCCTCCATTCTCAAGTCAAGAATTAATCTCAATTGCTACAGATTTGAACAATATTGCATGGATCAAGAGTGGCCTTGAGAATAGCAGCACTGGGATCCCTAGCAATGCAGCAAGCTACAGAATGTCTCAAGGGACTCTGGTTGGCTCACAGATGGGAATGTCTGAACAGAATTTAAGAAATGGCCATATGCATTTTGAGGAGGGACGAAGCAAATTGATGGGCACAATGGCAGGTGCTATATCAACCCAGATGCCTGCTTGACGTTGGGCGATGCCTGCTGAAGTGGAGAGCTTGAACCAAATTTGCTACAGATTTCCTTCTCGATACTGCTTTATCATAGGATGGTATAGGTCAAATTTATTCAGCTGTCATCAATTATTTGCCATTTATAGAAGTGAAGAAATGATCTCATGATGAGGCTCTTCATCCCTGGCGAAGTGATGATGTCATTTTGCTTATAAAGCCACAAATATGTTTCTGAAAAATGTATTCAAGACTTGACTTAGTTGAAGAGTGAAACTGGATTATATCAGTTATTACAGTGCTTAAGCTTTATCGGTCGAAATGCTTTCTTATGTGTGGTGTTCAGGTCCATGGCCATTACAATTAACAGGTCATAAAGCTTTGCTCTCTTCCTCATCCTGTGGTACCCGTTAGTGCATTTAAACTATTAATCGTGCAAGCAGGACTTTGTTTTTGAGGCAAAGTCGACGAATAAGCCTTTGCCTTGGCTGCGTAACTTGTGTCCCTTGAATGATAATCCCAGATGCTGCTTTTCAAGAAGTTACGGCGTACGGGTCCTAATTTCATTAATAGATTTCATCGGCAGTAAGTGTGATGGAAACCCACGGCTTCATGCATCTTAGATTCTTAGTTCTGGATTTCTCGAAAGCTAGAACTGGGTTAAGCTTCGATTTTCTGAGTCATAGTACATAATGGTTGTTGGGATCTCTCAAAAATTAGTTGAGATCTTTTCCTTTTTTTAACTGTGTTAGAAAATAGAAGGTCCCCTTGTCAACTGCTCCGCTGTCAGCCTCCTAAACTATGCAACATTTGACCAAAAGGTAAACTTACTTAAGACAATGGGCAATTACATCAGGAAAAATCTAAAGTGGCTAAAGACATCACGTAGAATCATGAAACAGCAGCTGGTCTGCAGATCTCTCCTTTTCATAAAAGATCAGACACTCGTATGAAAACACAGGATGATTGAAAAGTCCACAGTGCCCTTGTCACGATATGATTTATGTAAAAAAGGCATGGGCAATACTGGCCTTTCAAGCTTAAAGCATACACACCTGATCAAAATCGGAGGGTATACAGGTTCATGAGGCATTTAAAATACAATACCAATCAGATAAAAGCAATAAAGAGGACAAATTAAAATCTTCTTTTGACACCTACATTATCCTATGCTGGCCGAGGGAAATTAACAGTTTCAATAGGCCACTTCAACGTCAAATCGTATTCTAATTCTCTTCTTGCTTTGGCAACTTTTTCTCCTCTCAATCATTTTTATTGAGCTTCCCCATGATTTTCCCTGCACCAACTCTGCCAATTAAGTAAATAAATAAAGAAAACCAGAATATTAAAAAAGATAAGCAGTCAAATACCCTCCAATAGTATTTCTTGTACTTGCTGAATGGTACTGTATTATATCCATAATATCTTTCACGCTCTTTCTCCTTACTACAAGTTCTGTTCAAAAACTGGCACACAAGAGGGGGAGAGACAGAGAGATAGCACCAAACGTTGTACAGTGCCAATCTGTTGAAAAAGTCTGAGGAATTATTCACGCTTTTTTGTCTTTGCTTACCAGAGGTTTTGAGAGCTTAAATAGAGAGCTTCTTTAACCTTTGGTAGGCATTGATGATCTTTGCCTCACAAAGATATTACATGAAGATTCGCCAACTGGGCTTTAAAAATGGAGACTTTACAAAAACCCCATCTTGTAGTTGTTGATTGTATTGATGCAGTAAATGAAAATAGTCACCACCACCGTCATCAGCAGTCAGACGATGAAAGGCAAAGAATTTCTTCAAGTGATTCTGGCTCTTGCAGTGAGATTGTGAAGGCGAGGGGATCTTCTGTGTCAGAGATGGATCTGGAGTATGGGGCACCAGAGATAAAGCTACATTTGGCAAAAGTTGAGAGGGACTGTAGGATTTGTCATTTGAGCTTGGATGCAGAGAATCTGGAGTCTGGAGTGCCTATTGAGTTGGGTTGTTCTTGCAAGGATGATTTGGCTGCTGCTCATAAGCAGTGTGCAGAGGCTTGGTTCAAGATTAAAGGAAACAAGTAAGTAGTTAAAGAAAGTACCAAATTTATCTTTTTGCTGTGTTATATCTTTTGGTGCTTAGCATATCTAAATTTAGATATTGTGCTATTAATGCCACATTATAATAATCATACTAAATGGTACTCCTGCAAACGATTTTTGACATACTTTGGGAGACGACTATTTGCTGATTCTTGGGATTTTCTATTTTTTTTTTTTCTGGGTAAACGATTATGATGAAATGTTAAGGTTTTGATCTTGGCATTATTAGTTGGTGAGGGGTTTTGCAGTTTGTTAGTTAACTAAGCAAATGGTGAGATTACTCAAAGGGTGTCATTTATGGGCTCAATGATCTTGGTTCAGATGGTCCTTTGTCTATAGTTAGTGTTTTTGGAATTTATTGGTGAAGATACATTCTAATTGTTTTTGTTAGTGCCAAAGCGTTGGAGAAATATTTGTTGAAAATACTAGCGAAAAGCATCTTGCTTCTTGATGCTAGGAACATGTTAATGGGAACGTAATTAAGAATACAATCTCTACTTTGTTAGTGTGAAGAAAGAAGAGTAAAAGCCAGCTTATGCACTAAATCAAAAGAATAATTTATGGTAAAAGAAAAAGGTGAAACCACCAGAACATCCTACTTTTAATTCCAACTACGCGAATGATCATGCCCTTGTCTGTTTTGTCAAAATATTTTGTGTAAAAAAATGCAGTTCCAATTTTTATTTTGCTATAATACAAGTTGGGGTTTGACCCCAGTGTGCAATTATAGTTTAGATTAAAATATCAGGCACTTGCAGATATTCCTAATAAGATTTATGCTGACCAGGTTACGGATGTTTGTTAGGTTGGATCTATGTACCTGTTGAGCTGTAGTTCCATGATGCACATACCTTTAAAAAAGTCAGAATCCTTCAATTTTGTCATATTGGCTAGTGACTCGCACAGCTTATAAAGAAAGATCAGCCAAATGGTGCCAAATCACAAAGAGATCTAAAACAAAAACTCTGGCTGGATCCCAAAGTCTATGGCACCATTTCGGTTCTAGGTGGTGGTTTAGATGACTGTCATTGCAGCAATATCATATCTTAAAATAAATACAATATGAATAATCTGCCTTTTAAACTCATTTTCTAAAAAATAAATTAGTGAATTACCCTGACCTGATACTAAGTCATCTATCTGGGTATCGAATTATGTCCCACTCCTATGCATCTCTTGTGGCAGTACAGGAATGTATGCGGAGTTTTGGCTCTTGACAACATGTGCTTTTCCCTATAAAATCATCCATTTCCTTCATGATCAGACAATGTCTCTGAATTTTACCAGGAGTAGAACCTGTTTTCCATAAATTCAGCTTGGTTAAGGAGTCTTTTGAGTTCAAATTCTTCTCTTTTAAGGAAAATATACTGGAGTAGATAGGGAAATGGAAAATAATAGGCCGCTGATTTAAATTGTGGAATCATAATCTTCTGCACATGGACTCACCCCATACATTTTTTTGTGTTCTGTGCAGCAAGGCTACCAGGCACTCTTGCTGGAAAATCCAAATCAAGGATTTGAAGCGGAGTTGCAGCTACTTTGCTATGCACAATATGCATGCCTTAATACAGCACACGTGCAAGTTAATTTCAACTACAAAAAAAAATGTTTTCAATTTATTCCGTGTTCTACATACTTTCTAATTACCCTTTCAAAGTTGAATTATTGAACAATTCTATTTTCATCAATCATTTTTTTTTTTTTTTTTTTGTGACAGTTTCTACATTGCACAGGGGTAGAAGATTCACATTGTGTCCTACATTCTTTATGTATGAATAGGATAAATAACGCTTCCTATGAAGCAATTTGAACACATATTTGACAAGTGTCGTAGTTTTTCCCTATCTATCCTGTTGAATTTTCTAATTATAAGGACCATTTCATGGTGCAATGATCTCGGTTAGCCAAGCGCACAAGTTCCCTGGCTAATGACCGAGACTAGCCACTGCTAACAAAATAAAATGAAGGATTGGATCACATCTCCAGATTATCATCTCAGTAACCGGCTTGGTTTGACTATGAGTTGGATTAGAGTCTGTAGTTTCTATGTAAATAAATTGAGAATGACAAAACTAGCATGGGCTTATTTTGATTGATATTTCATTTTCTCCTTCGTTGCCTAACAAAATGGAAATTATTCTCCATGAACTCATGCCTTTCTACGTGTAATCATGTGTTCTGTTGAGTGCATAGAATTTTCATTATGAGATATTGCCTTTATCGTGCCTTTGTATTTTACAGTAAGTAAAGGGCTGATTCTTGATAAAACTCCACACAATAGCCTTTCTATATCAGATGTTCTGTATGCAATATTTTCGTTGAGAATGAAAGGTTAGAAGTATTAATGGACAATAACATTGCCAATGGCTATTTCTTGTCTTTATCTTGTGTTTACAATATGGAATGTATTCCTTACTGGCATTGCATTGATTTTTGTTGGATAGATCGTCATATTATTCAAAATAACTTTGTGAATTGTATTGCAATTTAACATCAATTGTTGAGGTGATATTTCTTTAAAAAATCTGATTGCAGAACCTGTGAGATTTGTGGATCACTTGCACGAAATGTTGCTGGTCCGAATGAAACTGAGTTGGCAGAGCAGTGGAACCAGGCCAGTGATGTTGCCGTGGCAACAGCAATTGCACCTGTGCAACCTGCAGAGATCAGAAACTTCTGGCAGGGCCACCGATTCTTGAATTTCCTCCTAGCATGTATGGTCTTTGCCTTTGTTATCTCTTGGCTCTTTCACTTCAATGTACCCTCATAATCTTGCAAGAGGCATTTCTTATCTCCGAGATTTGATGATGGAAGAGTAGGAGACAAGCATCATGGCTCTGAGCACTGCTGCGAGTGCCAATTTAATGATCCATTTCCCCTTAAAGTTAGTCATTCCCTTACCTGCTTGCTGTTGATATTAATATGAGAGCTTGAACAATGTAATTTGTGTTGTATTATTGTCGATTTTATTCACACGATCGATCAAGTAGAGTGCCATCCAATGCTGTGAGTCTCGTGTTCTTCAGCATTTATATTACAATGCTAGTGTTCTCAGCACATCCCCTCTCGATCCATCTATGATTGGAAAATTTTGATTTTGATAGCTGCACAATTTAATTTCTGTCAGCTGTAAAGAATGCTTGATGTCTGCTTTTCTTTAGTGTCATTTGGAAATTTTCAGTGCCATCTGAAATGATGTTAAGGTCATGACCGTGGGGTCTATGGAGTCGCACCTCCATTGCTGAAATGACAGGAAAGGTTCAAAGAGTCTAATGCAACTTTCATGTGGTCACTTCGTTGGAGTCAATTAATTGTGGGAGACAGTCATTTTCTTACCCATCTGCATATGCATATTATCGTTGGTCAGGGTCACTAGGTCATGGCGTCCCTCTCTTGTACTGAAGAAAGAAAAAGACAAACGGTTAAATCTATCTTTATATGATAATAATATAATAATTCTTCAATCTATTTCACTTTTGTATCTCTAATTATGCTAATTTTGTCTCTTATTTATGAGTTAGTTTACAGTTTATCATTTCCGTGAATTTTTTGTCAAAAATTAACAGCAAGTATTCTGTAACCCGATGACTTTTTTTCATTCCAAATATGCCCCTTTTATATACCACATGATGCATCATGCGAGAAGCGTGCGGCACCCCACTAAAACAAAATCAAATTAAACTAATCCTTTAAAAAAAAACACTTAGCCAACATCTGTCTTCCCCATTCTCGTGCAAAAGCAGCTAAAAAAATGGTTGAAATTAAGCTTACTCCACCGTCTCTCCTCTCTTCGTCCAAATTAAAAGAAATCCAGAGAATCCAAGATCAAAATCTAAATTTCTAACATAATAAAAATTGAAAATTTCAAGTAGATGATATCGATTCTCCAAATCACAAAACCCACTTTCCCTTATCTTCTACCACAACTACCACCGCTCACCCCGTCAGGTATCACCATAGACCCAAGAAAGCGGGAAAAAAAAAAAAAAAACACTTCTTCTCCCTTCTCTGCTTCATGTATGAGTATTGTGATGGCGTTTGGTGTAAGAGATGGTTTGGTGATGCTAAATTTGGTTTGGAATTTTTTTTTTTTTTTTTTTTTACACTTTTACAAAAAATAAAAACAAAATTCGAAATAAAAATCTAGTCACATGCTTCTTACATTATGCCAAACGTGTTAGATAATATAAGCATATTTGGAATGATTAAAAATCATGTGCAATAAACTTGATGGAGTAGAAACTAACTCTTTAATTGGAGATAAAGCTAACTCAATTTGAAAAATAAAAATAGATTGATGGATTATCTTATAAGAGGATGAATTGATATATTTAACTAAATAAACAATCGAAAGAAGTTTTACGGAGAAGAAATGGAGAAGGAAAAATTAAAAATGTCATAAAATTAAGGTGTACGTCTCCCACTAGGTGCGCCTGAAAGGCTGAAACCATCCGAATTTTATTGTGATCCCAGGGCTAGCAATTAGCCACGAAACCATATTTGAGACGATCTCTGTATCCTAGAATGATTTGGGGTTTGGGCTGGGTGCGTAATTGATCGGAACACTTGGTGTTGGGCCTGAACCCTGAATAGATGGGCTTTTCTGATTTTTCCCTACCTCCTTAAAGTCCATTTTGGGTTAGTGTTTGGATTGTGGTTGTGGTTGTAAGCGTAATGGTGGTTGAAGAAAAAGCTAGTTACACGACGTCTTTTAAGCTTTATTTTTTAAAAAATCAGCTTCCTCCTCAACGCCAAAACCTACTTTCTTTTCTAGCTCCTCGGCTTTGTTCAAGTGAAAACAGTACGGCCTTTTAAATTACAAATGGATATAGCTCAAGTTCGTGAAATAGATAAGTGATAGTGAAAATAGAAATGTTGTAATCAGCAAGTACTTTGAAAAGGCTAAGACAAGCATCGCATGCAAGTCTAAGCAGTGATTAATAGATTCGGTGGTCAGGTCAGGTCAATTCACCAGTCCCTGCTACAGACGAGCCGCAATTGGCGGGGGCTGTCAGTCTTAATCTGCCATAGACATGCACACAGCTAGCTCGCACAGCTAGCTCGTGGTGCAGAACTGATCGCTTATTTTATTATTATTATTATTTCTGTTGTTTTGGTTTGTGCAATATTTAATTAATTGCAGTTATATTGTCATAATCTCAAGTTTGCTGTTGCTAGTGAGTGGATGATCACTCATAATTTCTTCATAGGATGCCTCCTTCAAGGAAAAAAAAAAAGAAACAATGCTCCTATTTATTATTGCAATTTTTGTATTATTTCTTGTAAAAATTATGCCAATGGAGGCGCGTGCTATCTGCTCATGAATGCCGTCTCTTTCTTTCCTATAGGAAATTATGAATGGCATTTGGCCATTTGGGTAATGATTATAGGATCTATTGGAATTATTTTATTTTATTTTTACACCAAAGGGAAAAGGTATATAAGTTATTTCACCATCATATTTATGTCCGAATAGAAATTTAAACTATTTTATCGTTGTATTTATGTCGGAACTAAAACTCAGTGTTTTCAACATGATTTAGTATTTGACTAATTATAAACCGAAAAAAAGGCCATACAATGTTGGAATTAATATATACAAACCATTCTTATTGCCCCAACGCATGTGCCCATTTAAGGTACTAAGGAAATAGTTATATCTACGAGAAGGGGCTTTCTTCGATTATATGAAATAAGATCTTTTTTAGAATTTACGATTTGCTGGAAAAGCTTCCGGGGACCATGAAAACTTTTCTAACTAGCTTTTGGAACCCCAAATTACCCTATATTAAAAATGAGAAAATTATTTAAAAAAATTATAAAATTAAGGATAAATACGGTATCGTAGGTCTATCAAAAAATCAAGCAGAAAGTACTTGTTCAAGGAAAAAAAGAAAAAAAAGTTCAAAAGGAAGCGACTGTATTGATTAGGGGTTTAATCACAAATATTGACTCAGTTATATTACAATTTGAGAATTTTAAACGTTTATTATCAATTTGCATAATGTGAATAATAAAATATCAATTTTTTAAAAAATATTATCCAAATTCTTTTTTTTTTTTTTGTTATTTATAACGATCATCTAGTTGACTCGTTTAACTAAAGGCTCAAACAACTTTCGTTTAAGCATTCTATCGTTTTTTTTTTAAAAAAAAAAAAGAAAAATTGTTTAGATAAAGACAGATTTTAAATTTTTAAATCATTTGATTTTTTTTACTAATGCTTTTCATTTATTGTTAAAAAGAGATTTTTTTTTCACCCATTTACTTATAAATAAATAAAAAATTATTAAATTTATCACTAAACTTTCTTTTGGTTCTTCTTGAAAAAAGGGCTTTTACTTTTTATAAAATATCAATTTTTGTGTTTCGTTCTATTGCAATTTTACAATTTTAAACCTTTATTATCGATTTGCATAATTTGAATCGTAAAATATCAATTTTTGAAAAAATATAACCTGAATTTTTTTTTTGTTTGTTTATTTATAACAATCAATCAGTTGACTACCAAGTGAAATGCTTAAACGATTTTTGTTTAATCATTCTGCTATTTTAAAAAATATATATTAAAATTATTTAGATAAAGATAGATTTTAGATTTTTAAATAATTTGATTTTTTTTAATAATGCTTTTTCTTTATGTTTTTAAGAGAGATTTTTTTTTCACCCGTTTACCTATAAATAAATAAATAAATTGTTAAATTTATCACTAAACTTTCTTTTTGTTCTTCTTGAAAAAACGGCTTTCACTTTTTGAACCTATATGTTTAAAAAATTAAAAATAAAATAAAATTTGAAATTTTTTTTTAAAATGGTTTTCTTACTCTAACAGTTTTAAATGCATATTATATGTTTGAATCAATTGTGAGAATACAAAATCCTATAAAAACATGTAAAGATAATATATATATATATATATATATATATTTAAAATTTAATGATTAACGGTTACAAAAATAAGTTTATTGGCATGACAAAAGAAAATTTTTAGTTAAAATTAATTGTTTGATAATTTCAATTGATCAATTTGACCAATTGATATTTGTATTTTGTTAATTATAGGAGTGGATTGTTTTAATGGATTATACTACTACATAAAAATTATTTTTTAAAATTGAAAAAATATATATATAAAAAAATAACAATTTGATTAATTATGAAAAATCAAAGGGATTGATATGTGAAAATTTGAAATAGAAAGGATTAAGTCATAATTACATTGAAAAAATAAGAAAATTTTTTTAATTTTTTTTATTAAAAAAAATTAACAACAGAATGTTTAGCATTTAGCGATATGAATAGTCAATTGGGTTGAATTTAAAAAATATTGAAAAAATTTGGATAATATTTACTTAAAAATTGATATTTTAGAATTTAAATTGATGAAAATTGATAATAAAAACTTGAAATTATTAAATTGTAATAGAATAGAGGTAATTTTAGCTGTAAAACCACTAATTAGGTGAGTTTTTTTATTAAGATAAATTTATAACAGCAGTAGGCAATTCCCGTTGTGAACACACATTAGTGTGGAAGATGCATTTTTTTAATTGTTTAGGAAAAAAAGTTAATTGATGTCTAAACTGATTAAAAAAATATCATGGATGTCAAAAAAAATACAAACCCATTCAATAACCACAAACCATATGTTGTTTTTTTAAAAAAATGGTGTTAATTGGAGCCCAGATTAAGCTATGTTGTTGGAAAGAGCTGAACTGAAGTAGCGATTTCCAATGTCAAATACTTCAAACAGTTATACCCTTAATAGTTAAATCCCTCGTAGTTTAATCAAACGCACATTATAGAGTTAATTAGGGTTCAGATCTGCCGTAAAAACGAAAAGGAGGAGGAAAATTGCAGTTTCTGAGCAGACATGTGCTAGATCTGTCCATACATGGGGAACCACACAAACAAAGAGGCCATACAATTACCATATCTGATCCTTAGTGCATGTACATTATTATTGCTTACCACCTTAAACGTGGGCCCAAGAGAATAATAGTGCTCTGATTCATTTTCATATCACCCAAAAAATAGTTTCATGGATTTTTAGGATAATTCCAAGCCCAGCGATTACGAAATAAAACTTGTGGAAGACGATCAACAGAATGTTTTGTAACTTGTTCCTTAGTTGCCACCTTTGCGTATCAAAGGTAATGAATAAGCGAACTTGATAGCAAGCAACGTGCTCAACATAATTGCATACATTTTTTTAAGCTCTCTATCTTTGGATCCTCCAATGGAAATCTAAATATATTCCTGTTATCTTGGCCCAATTAGATAAAGTATCACGCCATATCAATCAATTCAATTGATCCAGAAGAAAATTCAGAAACCAGCTAATACGGCACGGCAAATGCGACACAGTTTAAGATTAGTTTGTTTGTGCTCCTAACAAACATGGCTTTCGATCTGAATTAAAATGTCGGCCGCATGCTCCGGCACTGGCCATGTTTAGCCGACATTTTACTTTTAATCAACTTCATATCGATGATTCTTATCCATTTAACAGCTTACCAAGGCAGCAAATTGTTCATAATCACGGAGACATCCATCCATCCTCTCGATCGAGTCTTAATTGGAGCCATTAATTGATTTCTAATTTTCCCTTTTATAATTAAAGTGTGTTTTTTTTTTTAATTATGAATTATCATGCTGAAGAGTTCTATATCTACCTCTCTTTTCGTTTCTCATTTAATTTAATTAGGCTAAAACCTCGGAGATAAGTATTAATCCACTAGCTAGCTAGCCTCCACTTTAATCCTACTTTTCTTTTTCTAATTTATTATTTTGTGAGTTATAATTGGCCGCTAAATTCAAATCGTTAAAAGGAAAACAGAACCCCCATAACTAATTTGGTCCCCGTCTAAATCAAAGAGTTAGATAGATTCTAATAAATATAAATATTGTTGTGTTAATTCCATCCATTTTCTTAATATTTGAATTTTAATGTTACGGTCAATTCGATCCAAACCTCTAAGTCTTGATAAATATTAATAAATAAACATAATAATAAAACAAAGGAAAAATGTAAAGCTCCTTGAAGACTTTTCGATCATATATATAGAAATTGCAATGAGTAGGGACAATCTAGAATTCAATTAGAGCGACAATTATGCAAAATCAACACGGTATATCTTTTAGAAAAAATTGAAACTAAATTTGATTGTTAAAAATCATAACAGAAGTCGTTGGAGAGAGATATAGCTAAAAGAAATCAGTGATATCAAACCCACCAAACCCATAGAAATTTTCACACACCCTTAGGCCTTAAGCCTAGCTTAGACAAATTTGCTCACCATTAATATACTATATCTACTCCATAAAATACAGGAGTAAACGAAGTTTATAAAGAAAGAGAGGGAGAGCGTGCAAACACGACATAGACAAAGAGTACCACGTTAGTAGTAGCCAATGGTCGGTTGGTAATGTTCACTAGCTGCACATACTAGTTCTGACACATCCTTCCTTTCAATCCAAGTCTTTCTCTCTTCATTCAGTACTCAAAAAACTCTAAAGCTAAAGCAAAACCCCATAACTCTCTCAATCTTTCTGTGCCAAAACTAATCATCAAATTAAGACGACTTCCGCGTGCTACTTTCCTCTTTTTCTCTAGTATGAGGAAACTTTGTCCAAATTTTGATCGTGAAGATGGACTCGACACAGTTCTCGAGGTTCCAATCCCTGAAGAAATGTTTGCTTCAAACAAGCAGAGTAATAGGTCATGGCAAAACATGAAAGCCTGGATGAGACCACACAACGAAAAGTCCATGACAAATCTTTTTGGAGGCAAAAACACTGAGATTCAACTCTTGCTTGGTGTTGTTGGTGCTCCTTTGATCCCTCTTCCCATCCGCTGTGATCACCAGTTCATCAACCGTAACATCAAAGACCACCCCATTGTAAGTTAATATTAGCCTTTAGTTCTTTTTTATGATTATTTTTCATAATAAAATGTTTAATTGTACATGTGGAGGGATTTTTTTTTTTTTTTTTTTTTTTTTTTTTTGTGGGTGGTGGTGTGTGAAATTTTATTGCATGTTTTTGTTAATCGCAGCATATTTGTGTTGTACAGGAGGCATCAATGGCAAAATACATAGTGCAACAATACATAGCAGCAGCAGGAGGAGAGAAGGCTCTGAATTCTGTGGACAGTATGTACGCCATGGGGAAAGTGAAAATGGCAGCGTCAGAATTTTGTGCAGGCGAAGGGAATTTTAACAACAATAAGGTGCTGAAAGTGAAGAATCAGAGACATGGAGGTGGAGAAATGGGAGGGTTTGTTCTATGGCAAAAAAGACCAGACTTATGGTGTTTGGAATTAGTGGTTTCTGGGTGCAAAATTAGTGCTGGCAGCGATGGTAAGGTAGCTTGGAGACAAACCCCATGGCACCACTCTCATGCATCTAGAGGCCCACCTAGGCCTCTGAGACGTTTTCTCCAGGTAAAAACCCACGAATCAAATGGTGAATGTATAATATACTTCTATGAGTACTTGGTGTTTGATTCACTGACTTTCATGGCTCTGTACTTTTTTATGGGTTTTTCCTGGCTGTCAGTATCGCTGGATGCTACAGTTAAAGCTATCCAGCTTCTAATCATGTCGTGGCTTCCTTGGACTTTTTCAAAAGAAGAAAGGGGCTGCCGCATGAATTTTATGTTCACATCAATTCATCAATTTCCCACTTGGGGTTCGTTTCATTTGATTTTTCTAACTAAAAGAAGAGAAAGGGCCAGGGGATGATTTTTATGTTTTTCAACCGAGCCCATTAAGATACAGATAGGATAGAAGCCCCTTAATGGATATCAATCTATTTCAAACAGTAAATCTTGAAGGTTTTCCAAAAAATGAAATCTCGCAATTTTTATGCCCGGAGACGTTTTTCTTTCTTTTCTCTTTAATTAACTGTGAAATCAGAAGTGAACATCTTGCATTTTGTTCAATTGTATGAGCATGACCATCCGTAAATATATTTTCTTCCTGCTTTCACAAATTCTCATATCTTGAATCATAATCAACAGGGCCTTGATCCAAGGTCTACGGCCAACTTATTCTCCAATTCTGTTTGCACCGGCGAGAAAGCAATCAACGATGAGGACTGTTTCGTGCTAAAACTTGAAGCCGAGCCCTCGTCATTAAGAGCAAGAAGCACTAACAATGTAGAAATAATTAGGCACACGGTATGGGGCTACTTTAGTCAAAGAACGGGCCTGTTGGTCCAATTAGAAGACTCTCACCTTCTAAGAATTAAAGCCTCAGGCAATGACGGCATTTTTTGGGAGACAACAATGGAGTCAACAATTCAAGACTACCGAACCATAGATGGGATTAACATCGCATATAAGGGAAGGACTTCAGTCTCATTGTTCAGGTTCGGGGAGACACCAGAAAGTCATTCAAGGACAAGAATGGAGGAGATTTGGGCTATTGAAGAAGTTGATTTTAACATAAAAGGATTGTCCATGGATTGCTTTTTGCCACCCAGTGATTTAAAGAAAGAGGAAGAAGGGTGTGATCATGTTGCGATTAGCGATAATGCAAGATTACCTTTCCAGATTCGATCAGCTTCTTCTAGGATTAGTGCATCTAAGGTTGTCGCTATCGATGATGTTGATGAGTCGGATGAAATTGATGATGATGACGAGGATGACAAATAGCTGTAAATTTGTTTTGTTCTTGTTTTGTAAATATCAATCCAACTATATGCACTTTCACTTAGCATATGCATTTTTTTCCCTTTTTGCTTGATCAGCCGGTCACATAGGAACGGGTTTAGCATTTTACCACTCTTAATTCATTGTATAACGTTGAACTTTTGACCTTTGTCAATGTAAATATAATTTTACATCCACTTGACCAAACAAAACCCTAAGCAATCGTCACGATTTTTTTGAGGTTTCATGTCATCTCACAGTATCTTGATAAAAAATTAAAACAACAAGATTACAGGTTTAGTTAGGTAAAAGATCGGTTAGGGAAAAAAGAAAACTTTCATGGTAAAACTATCCACATAATTGGGGATGATATTGACCTTTTCCCCTTTGAAGAAAAGAAAATACACTCCAATATAAACTCTTTATTTATATAACATTAAACACATTTTTGTTTAATTTTACTTATTGCTATATATTTTTAACAAATAGAGAGTACGTACACATGTGAGTTACATCTTAATCTCTAAATCAAACGAACATTTAATAAATTATATTGTTATAATTTGCTATTTCAATGGATTTATATAGCGAAACATTTTTTTGACGATACTACTAGAATGATGGTTGCAGCCACATCCACAATCATAGCCCGATCTCTAAACCAAACAGTATTTATTTTGTTTTAAATTTTCATTTAAGCACATCGAAAGGAGGCTCTTATCGAATAGATTGTGTAGATCTACAAAAACACCGATTTGTCTCGGCTTCATCTCCTTCTGGGCCAAATGGTTGGTTTTGTTGAAGTCTAAATCCAACACAAATAAATGGGCCTCGGGTTCACTGTCAGAGACAGAAAACCAACGTCCATATCCTTAAAATGGCATATGGTTATGCTCTGAAGTCCAAAGCATTCAACAACATTTGTTTTCTTAAAGTCTGTCATCACAACGCTGTACTGTTGGCAACTAGCAATGTAAGGGTAAGAATTTTTTTTAAAAAAAATAAAATGAAAATTAAGGATTTGATTAGGACAAGAGATAAAAATGAGAGATATCGGTTTTATGTAGGTTGTACGGATATAGTACTCCATATCTTTGCTCCCTTGTGTTGTTCACGTTTGGTTGGGTTATATTAATGAAATTTATCCTTTGTAACTCTAAAGGCAAAAATTAAAAAAAGATAAGTACGACTTATCAAGTAATCCCACCAAGTTCTGACTTCCCTCTTCAGATCTGGTTAGAATGAATCCAACGGCAGTCAGTAACGGGTTGCAAAATATAAAACCAACCTCTTACAATATACAAGATGCAACGAAAAGTAAATCTTCTGATTTATTCTACAACTTTTTTCTTTCCGTTCGATGATGCGTTCTCCTTATTATGGACTCCCCTATCAAATCCCTAGCGACTGCGGCAACAATCAACCCCTTTATCTAATATTTATCTTTATTAGAATCTATCAAACTCTTTGACGAAGAAGAGCGGTTCTAAAAAGGCTTGTCAGGAGGTAGCCAGGAAGGCTTGAAGGACAGGTCGTTAGGATTGTTCTAAATTGTTCCCATCGTTGTTTTTTGTAAATTTTGGTCCCTATATGTTTTACTTTTTTTCAATTATATCCTTTTCGGTGTATTATTGTAGTCCTTGGTTCCTTTATTTATTTTTAATCGGATACATGAATCTTGCAATTTCAATCCTAGAATTTTTAATTATTTCAATTATACCCCTAAATGTTTCCAATTGTATTCCACTTCCATTCAACTGCACTCTTAGAGCTTTATAATATACATGACCAAAATAAAAGGGTTCTAAAATTAAAATGAAACTAAATGAAGGGACGATTATAAGCTGTACGTCCCTAACTGCTGTGCGTGAGTTTCAGGGCCGGGCAATTTAGGTTAATCAAGGGACGATTACAAGCTGTACGTCCCTTCGAAGTTTTATCTTTCGCATTTCACATTTCGTCATGGCAATTAACACCAAATTAAACCATAGTTACATAAAAAGCATAAAATCACCAAACATATAGACTTGGTATTATTTTCATATAATACCGCGACTAACACACATTAGACAACTGGTTACATATACATGGGAAGTATGCATACAACAGCAGAAACTTTGACAGACCACACAAAAGGTTCATCTAGTCGTACTTGTCTCACAAACAGGAACACTTAACTAGATACTACCATACTTAACAGAGACAACAGACATTTAACGCTCAAAACCTTTCCTTTCACAGCACGTACGTAGCAGAAAGTTATTTTTAGCCAGAGATCTCAATGGGCTTAACCTCAGGTTTCTTCTCCTCTTCCTTTGGGACAATAACATTGAGCACTCCATTTTCCATCGTAGCCTTTATCTGATCCATCTTTGCATTCTCTGGCAACCTAAACCTTCTCAAGAACTTGCCAGTAACCCTTTCAACACGATGCCACTTATCATTCTTATCTTGTTCCTCTCTGGTCTTCTCTCCACTGATTTGGAGAATCCTACCATCCTGAACCTCGACTTTCACTTCCTCTTTCTTTAGCCCGGGAAGATCAGCCTTGAATATATGAGCCTCTGGGGTCTCTTTCCAGTCCACACGCGTGTTGGCAATTGCTTGTGTCTCGTTTGAGATTGATGGGACCTTGGAAACACTGGTGACAAAGGGGAAGCCCTCAAATGGGTCCCAGATATCTAGTGATAAGGGGTCGTAGACGTTGCTCCTTGGGCCACCACCAAACAGACTCAGAGCCATTTCCTACCTTTGATCAACAAAGAAAAAGGGCGCCCTACAAGAGACTCTATTTCTTGCTCTAGTTTTTCGTTTTCTGCTAAATGTGAGCGATGAGGAAGAGAAGGTGAAAGCTACATATAGAAGGTGCAAAAGAAGAGTGTGGGTTCTTTCAAAAAATTATTTTAAATCTCTTTTTTGTACTTTTGTTACTGTAGAGAAAGAGAGAGTTCTTCATCCTTCTAAGCAATATCTTGTTTGAATCGATGGGTGGAGCAATCTGAAATTACGTGTCAGATGACCGAAGTCTTGTTTCATGCAACTCATAACACGTGCTCGCAGTTTTAAAATCCAATGGGCTTTTCTTTGGGGCGTGGCCAAGTGGCCATGCAGTGCTTCGTGGCTTCACCTGCACACGCCCTGTAGGCTGTGTTGTTGACCATTGCTTTGAAGGCTGATTCCATCACTATTCGCGAGGTTTACATCTTAAAATAAAATAAAATCATACTGCGTGCCAGTCTCTAATTTCCGTCTTGAAACATTAGCATTTTAGGACTTGAGGCTTTTTTTTTGTACCATCACAAGCGACCTGGCCGTGAATCCTATTTAGAGAAAGGAATTTATAAACCACTCCGGCAGAATTTGAATATCCTAACAAATCAAAGCCTAAACATTTGTACTAAATCTTCATTTTCTTTTGTTTTTAATATGAATTTTATATTCATTTAAAAAGTATGAACTTTGTGAATGCAGATAATTACAATCCCTCATTTCAGCAGTTGACAATTTGGCATCCATAAGAAAATTAATTGGAATTAGTAAAAACTAACTGTGCATCATAGTGACTTTTTTCTTTCGAAGACAGCAGTAGAATTTTTTGAAGAGTTTAGGAATCCTAATTTTTTTTTGCAAATGTGTTTTTACAGAAGGGCATATCTTTTCAATTTTTTAATTTAGATAGATTGGCTTTTATAATTTTATTTATTTATTTATTTGGTAATTTTTAATACTTTTGAATTTGATATATTGATTCCTTTTTTTTTTTTAATTAGCCAATTAAGTAGATGTAACTTTCACATTATCCGATCCAGCCTTTTCATATTCGGCGTAGTCTTATTCTCAACCTCTAGCTTTCCACACGTTATCGTGCAATAAAATGAACACGTGTTTGAAAACGTATTTCGCTTTCACATCTCAATTTGCTTTCTATTTGTTCATCGTAAAAAAAAATAATAATAAAATAAATAAATCACATTAAAAAAAATTGTAAACAGATCGGACATCAAATCATAATATATTCCAATTAGATTTAATTAATAAAATGAATTAAATCGAATCTTATTAATTCGGATCCGATTTTAAAAAAGTGATATTGAATTTAGATTCTAACATATTCGGATCTCGGTTTGAAACTCTATTGGATTTATCACTTGGTTTTTATATAAATTTTATACTTATTACATTTTATATAGTGCGAGAATTTTAAATATATTTCAACCACTACATATATAGTAAAAATCACTAGAAATTTATATGTGATTTTTGAAAATATAGTTGTCATTGTAGAAGAATATGCATTATTTAAACTTTATAATAAATAAACTCTAAATTTTAACATAGTTTCGTATTTATCTATACTTTTTTCATATTTAAATTTTAATATTTTAAAAATATTTTTTTGTGAAATAATGAATGTCCATTTCGTATTTTCATTACTCATGTGATTTAATTCATCATTCATTATGAAAAATTAAAAAAATAATGCAATTAATTCAATTATTTATGCACCTTTTAATGGTTCATAATCCTTTTCAATTCCCTTCTTAATCCCGAAGCCTATAAATAAACTTGATTGTTCATTAGTTTGAGTAGATGTGTTTTGTCGAAATATAGATAATTATTTGAAATTGTTATCTTTTGTATTCACTTTTATTTTATAGTGAATTTATTTTTCTATTATATTTCTCTTCAATTCTGATATTATTATCATTTTTTTATAACATAATATCGGCACGAAGCTCTAACCAATCAAGATAATAAACCAAGAAGTATGAATCTAATTTATCCTTTAATTTAAATCCAAGTGATCTAATATATGTTATTTGAAAAGTTTAAATTTTATTATTATGTTTATTTTTATTTCTTAATATTGTTATTATATCTTTCATTATAGAATTTTAATCATATCAAATCTCACCAAATTCGATTCTATGGCCATTGACATTTCGAGTAAGAATTATTGATTATAGGTACTTGATGTTGAGAAAATATTCTCTATTTTTTATGCCTAGAATATGCTCTTATAATAGCAATATTGAAAAATATTTTAAAAAATATTCTAAATTAATTTCATGCTTGTTTGTGGCTAAACAAAAATAACAAGCTATTGATAAAAAATCATGAATCCCGCCTACATGGGATCACTCTATTTCCGAAGTAAATGTGACAACTTATAATAATTCGGACACGAACAAAGACGTCGACATAACTATAGTCGTGTTGAAATAGTTATCGTTATAATAATGATAACCATAATAATACACCTCACATCTAGAAGTTGATAAACTATAGAAAAAAAGCAACAAAAGGATACAAATGGACCAAGTTAGCATTTTAAAAATGTATATTATAAATATGACACAAAGAAACATTGGTCCCATACCTCTCATATGCTAAAGCACCTCATTGAGCCTTATCAAATCTAGTTGAAAAAGAAAAAGTAAAATATAAGGGTCAATTTTATATATCAAAATGATAGTAATTGAAATTAATAACTTCTTAGCTTTTCTATTTATAAATAAAACCTTTTATATTTTCTTATAATTTATATTGCATTATAATAGTTACAAATTTATTTTGCTATATATTTATTTATTTTGTGTTTATTTAATTATTTATTTTATGTTAATATTATATTTATAATATCAATCCAACGAAAGCTACGAGAGGAGTAATCGTATTATTACTTGAAGAGATAAATTTTAAAGGCTTAAAAAAGCAAATATATTATTACTTGAAGAGATAATTTTTAAAAACTATAGAAGAACGAATATATTATTAATTGAAGTGGAAGAATTTAGAGGCTTCGAAAGAAATATATATTATCATTTGAAAGATAAATTTTATTATAAATGATGCATTATTCTCTTTAAAATCTCATAGAAATTTATTGAGTTTCAAATATATTCATCTAAATAGACATCATATCAAGACAACAAATGTAAAAAATATTGAATGCTTCGACATTATAATTATTACATTGGATAGAAAATACGTATCGGAGAAATTACTCATTTTCTTTTCTAATCCTTATTATAAATATCTTAATGATTGAAATAAATTATATATAAACTACAAGTTTAATAATTCAAATACTTTTATTATGTGCATGACCGGTTGTGTGATCCCGGATCTTTCATGATACGAAAAATTATTAAAAATTCATATGAGCATCTATCGAAGAGTCGGAAGATTCTTCAATCTAATGAAGTTTTATGTTTTGCATGTTTTCAAGATAAACCGATTATTAAGCTATCATCAAGTCAAACTAAAATTGAATCTCTAGTGTTTTTAGAATGTATTCAAGGTGATAAATGTGGATCAATTCATCATCATATAAATCATTTAGATATTTTATTTTTTTTAATAAATGTATCCATAAGATGATCACATGTATGCATATTATGTACTTGAAACCCGATGTTTTTGAGGTTGCTAGCTCAAATAATTCGATTACGAGCACAATTTCTAGATTTTATCATTAAAACAATTTGCCATGATTATGCTTGGTGAATTTTTCTCTCAAGCATTAAATGATTATTGATTGGCTATTAGAATAAAAGTTAAATAACTTGTTGCTCATGTTAATACTCGGAAAGATTTAATAGAATTATTTATCAAAATACTTTAATTGATAACTAAACCATTACCTATGAAAATAAAACTCCATGCTTATGTTTAGGAACATGCAATCTTATATGCAACAACATTTATTTACATCAAATCTTTAAGTTATCAAAAATTCTCCCTACTTTAATTGGTTTCTAGTCATGAACCAAATATTTCTCATCTAAAAATTTTTAGTCGTTCAATATATATTCCTAATGCTCCTCCACAACGAATTAAAATGGGCTCTTAAAGAAGATTGAGAATATATGTTGAATTTGAATCCTCTTCGATAATTAAATATCTTAAAACATGAACAAAAGATATTTTTATAGCTCGATTTATCAAATGTTATTTTGATAAAACAGCTTTTTCAGCATTTGGAGAAGAGAATAAGCAAAATGAGCGAGTTGTAGATATTGAAAAAAGAGATTAAATAAAGTACTCTATCTTTGCATCATCTTGATCTTTACACAAAATAATATTAACTAGAAGTTTAGAATATAATTCATTAATAAAATCTTGCAAACCAACTCGCAGATATATTCTAAAATTCAAAAAGAACAACCGAAATGTATGTTTCCACTAAGAATGCTCCTATTAGAATTGATGTCCTAAGAAAAACAATATATTAATGTTATAGCAAATGAATCAAAAGCACGCCTAAAGTGTGAAAGATCAATCGGTTATAAAGACAAAAATCCCGAAAGAAAAGGATAAATAGCTAAGATAAAAATATAAATGATGCAAATATTCACAAAATGATTTAAGATATTTCGATAATAAGCTTTTGAAAGAAGTTCAAATACTTGAGAAAAATCAAGACACTTTGATAAATGATATCAATACATGAAGAAAATAAGATTGAAAAAAAAATTATTGATAACATTTTTACATATAATGTTGCAATTGATATTTTGAATGAAAATAAAGATCATGAGCCTAAATTTATTAAAAAATATCGACATAGAAATGATTGTCTTAAATGAAAAAAGCAATCCAAGTAAAATTATATTCTCTCACAAATAAGTAGTTTTTGAACTCATAGTCAAAACACCTAAAGATGTTAAGGTAGTAGGATATAAATAAGTATTTATACAAAAATAAAATTAAAAAAATGAGATTGTGAGATATAAAATAAGACTTGTAACACAAGAGTTTTCGCAAAAAACTAACATTGAGTATAAGAAGACATATTCTCTTATAATGGATGTAATTATATTTCGCTATCTCGTTAGCTTGATAAAATATATAAAAAACTTCATATGCATGTATTTAATAGATGTGATCATAGCTTATTTGTTCACTTGAAATTAATATTTATATGAAAGTCTTAAAATGACTTAAAATACCTAAAGTATGTAATATACTTTTTCGGAAAATATAGTCAATTAAATTAGAGATCTCTATAAGGATTATTTTAGTATTTGTTTAATTACTTTTGTTTTTAGAAATTTGATTTAATTTTTATAATTTATTTTTTAAAATTTACTCTTTATTACTAATCTTGATGGATGTGGTATAATTATCTTAACGAATGTTTGTTAAAAGAAGATTATAAAAATAGCCATATTTATTCATGTATTTTTATAAAGAAATTTGAAATAGAGTTTGTAATAATTGTTGTATATGTTGATGATTTAAATATTATTGAAACTCCTGCAGAGATTTCAAGTGTCATAAGTTATCTAAAAATAGAATTTGATATAAAATAATGTACCTTGGAAATTTTTTTTTATCTCGACTTCGTAGTGCGAGTACTTAAAGAATAAGATTTTTATTCATCGGTTAATTTATATAAAAAAAATTATATAATGATTCTATATAAAGCTCATCAATTTATCAGCTCAATGATAGTTCGTTCACTTAATATCCAAAAAGATCATTTTCAATCTTGAGATGATAATAAAGAACTAGTTGGTCCCGAAATACCATATCTTTGTGCAATTGGTATATTGATATATCTTACTAATAATACTCGACTCGATATAGTCTTTTACGTAAATTTATTAGTTAGATATATTTACGCTTTACTATGAAAACATACGTTATCTCCAAAAAAAATAAATTTATATGGTATTTATTACGTTCAAATAAATTAAAGTTAGATTTAATTGGTTATGCGGATGCATGTTATTTATCTAATCTATACAAAGCTCGATCACAAACGAGTTATTTACTTACACATGATGATACAAATATATCATGACATTTTATGAAGCAAAATATACGTCACATATTTAAATCATATAGAAATATCAATTCATGAGGTAAGTCGAGAATGTGTTTGGATAAGATCAATAATCTATCATATTCAAGAGACATGCAATTTATCTATCGGTAAAAAATTCCAACAATACTATATGTAGATAATGCTACTTATATAATCCTATTAAAAGAAGAATACATCAAAATGACAATCTAATGGACTTATTTACTAAGGCATTACCTACAATAACTTTTGAGAAAATAGTTCGTAAGAGATGCGTCATCTTAAAGATCTTGAATGATGTTTTTAACGAAGAAGTCCAACATAAAGATTAATGTAGACAAGAAATATTGAACTATTTTTCTTTCATCAAGATTTTTTTCGAGTGGGTTGTTTTTTATAAAGTTTTAACGACGTATGTTTCTTGTACGATGAACATTTAAGAGTGAGTGGTATGAAATAATGAATGTCTATTTCATATCTCAACAACTCATGTGATTCGATTCACTATTTAATATGAGAAATTGAAAGGATGATGCAATTAATTCAATTGTTTATGCATTTTTAATGGTTCATAATCTATTCTTAATATAAATAGGCTTAATTGTTTAAGTAAACGTGTTTTGTAGAGATTTAAAAAATTATTTGAAGTTATTATCTTTTTTATTTATTTTATTTTATAATAAATTTCTTTTCTTATCGTATTTCTCCTTAATTATACTATTGTTATAATTTCTTTTATAACAATATTATATTTATTATAAAAATATTATTTTTAATTCGGATCGGATTATCGTCGATTGAATCAATGTAGATCCAAATTTGATTTGCTTAATAAATAAATTAACAGATACAAATCCTAATTAGACTTGAATCAAAAAAATTATTTACCATATTTATTTAATTACATCATATTTGTTTGGATCAAATTTGGATATAAATCTTATCCATTTATAGTCATATTTCAACAATTTGATTGTCATGCCTTCGTACGTGATTGACGATCACGTGATTTGACTGGTTTAATTTTAATGATTTGACTTATTTAGCCATATCAATTTGATATTTCAACTTAAATGACTTTATGGAAGAAAGTTAAATGAAATGCTTCTTTGACCATTAATGGTAATTGAAAGGTCTATTAAACTAGAAGAGCTAGTATAGCACCTATGGGATTATTAGCGATTAATAGAATTGCCATTAATGTTTAAGTAGTTATTTTTCTGTTGTTAACAGGTCGGCTAAAAAGGTGATTCGCGTTAAATTGTGATTTACTCAAAAAGGAACCACGTGCTCAAATCTCATGTATCTTTATGTTGAAAAAAATACTCGATGCCTGTCACCTTCAATGAGCCCTAGAGTCTCCGCTGTTTACCGGAACGCAAATGTTGCTACTCCTAATATTTGGTCAAAACCAAGCTCATTGCAAAATGTTTGAAATTGTCACAATTAACTTACGCACCCAATAAATTATGAACTTTCCATTCTATAAATAATCTCAGCCTTTATGCACTCTCATTTACACAAAATTTTATAGCTGTAGGTAGAACATAGAAGCAGTATGGGAAAAAAGCCTGACCCTGCTCCTCCTCATGTGTTAATCTTCCCTTTCCCTGCCCAAGGCCATATTAATTCCATGCTTAAGCTAGCCGAGCTTCTTGCATTCTCTGGTCTAAAGGTCACCTTTCTCAACTCTGATTACAACCATGAACGTCTAGTCCGATACACTAATATTCAAGCCCGTTTGTCTAAGTATCCTGCATTCCACTTACACTCTATTTCCGATGGTCTCCCTGCTGACCACCCACGATCAGGTGACCGAATGATGGAGATGTTTGAGTCGCTGAAGCTGATGTCTAAGTCATTCTTTAAAGATTTGTTAACTGGAATTCGGCCAGGAGTCGATTGTATCATTGGGGATGGAAACATGGGGCTTTTTGTTGACATTGCTACTGAATTTGATGTTCCAGTCATTCATTTTCGTACAATTAGTGCTTGTTGCATCTGGGCATCTTTATCTCTGCCTCAAGTCATTGAAGCGGGTGAACTTCCTATTAGAGGTAATTTACTTAATTTACCATATATATTGAAGTAAATGGATCGCATATTAAGTTGATACATTATAATTTTTTAAATTTGCATTACCAAAATATTTTTAAATTCAAGAGGTATTATTTTTAAACGAATTATAAAAAACAAAAAACAAGCTAATTGGAAGAACCAATCAACATAACTAGTATTTATTTAGAACACAGTACAGACAAGATATGAACAAGTACTATGTACGGTCCATACCATTCCTTGTCTGGCCCGGTTACATTGGTTTACAGCTGAAAGGTGCCTGTACTCTGGTCAACCAAATAATTTTTTAACCATGAGGGGATTAACTTTTAATTCGCATCTTGGGCAAATAAGAATCACTCCAGTTCCTGACTACAATATATAAACATGTTACATATGTAGTAGCAAGCCATTAACTCTCCAGCTGCAATTCACAACTAGCTTCCTACAAGCAAAAATGGAAATCGGGTCAAATCCTCCTCCTCCTCTTCTTCATGTCCTAATCTTTCCTCTCCCTGCCCAAGGCCATGTCATCTCCATGCTCAAGCTAGCCGAGCTTTTAAGCCTCGCCGGCATTAACATCACCTTCCTAAATTCCGAGTACAACCATGAACGTCTATTCCGTTACACAAATATTCAAGATCGTTTTATGAAATATCCCGGATTCCGATTCCAGACCATAACTGATGGTCTGCCTGTAGATCACCCGCGCTCAGGTGGCCAGTTCATGGAGATAGTTGACTCAATTAAGTTGATTACTAAGCCAATCTTCAAGAAGATGTTGCTTGAGACTATGCCACCAGTTAACTGTATCATAGTAGATGGGGTTTTTGGATCTATTGGTGATGTTGCCATTGAGGTTGGAATTCCTATAATTTATTTTCGTACCATTAGTGCATGTTCTTTCTGGGTTTATTTTTCGATTATCGACATCATTGAAGCTTGTCAGCTTCCTATCAGAGGTATCAGTACTCCATCTAATTTTCCTTCGTTAACAAGTTTGTGATGCTTTGTTTTCTGCCCCTAATTCATACATTTTGAATGTTTTTTGGAGCGCAACGTGTACATCCGAGTTCCGGAATAATCCTTGTCTTTACTTAGACTAGTTTAGCCAATAATTCCGAGTCAATTGCCTTTGGGTTTAAGGAGTAAATCTGGTGTTTGTTGAAACTGCAGGAAATGAAGATATGGACCGTCTCATAGCCAAAGTACCAGGGATGGAAACTTTTCTCAGGTGCCGAGATCTCCCTGGTTTTTGCCGAGTCAGTGACATGACAGACCCGAATCTCTTAACGATCATTAACGAGACACGAAAATCCCCTCAAGCACAAGCACTCATCCTCAACACATTCGAAGACCTTGAAGGACCAATATTGTCTCAAATACGCACTCAGTGCCCCAAAATCTACAGCGTTGGACCTCTCCACGAGCATTTAGAAGCAAAGCTTAGCTTGAAAAATGAAGAATCGTGTCAATCCTCCAACAGTCTTTGGGAAGTGGACAGGAGCTGTATGACATGGCTAGAAAATCAACCTGAGAAATCAGTACTCTATGTTAGCTTTGGCAGCATTACAGTGACGACTAGACACCAAATGTTGGAGTTTTGGTATGGCCTTGTTAATAGCAAAAAGCGGTTCTTGTGGGTGATAAGACCTGATTCTATTACCAAAAAAGATGGCGGCGATGAAAAAATTCCTGTAGAGCTTGAGGAGGGGACTAAGGAAAGAGGGTTGATTGTGGGCTGGGTACCACAGGAGGAAGTTTTGGCACACAAGGCAGTTGCTGGGTTTTTGACACACAGTGGATGGAACTCAACTTTGGAGAGTATAGTGGCTGGAGTGCCTATGATTTGCTGGCCTTATTTTGCTGACCAGCAGATGAATAGTAGGTTTGTGGGTGAAGTTTGGAAGCTAGGGTTGGACATGAAGGATCAGTGTGATAGAGAGATTGTTGAAAAGATGGTGAATGATCTGATGGTAGATAAGAGGGAGGAGTTTGCGAGATCAGCGGCTAGGATGGCAGAGTTGGCTAGAAAGAGTGTCAGAGAAGGTGGTTCCTCTTATTGTAATTTGAACCGGTTGATTAGCGATATAAGGTTGATGAGTGTGCGAGGACGTGATATCTGAGGTAGTGGTGCAAGATAATTGCTTGCACTTACCTTTTTCCAGCAGTTTGCATCTGATTTTTTTAATTTCGTGAATAAAAGTAGTAGACAGCAATAAAACTTGTGTTTCTTGTATGATTTCAGGTGCTAGCAATATTTCATTGATTCGTTCTTTTTTTTTTCAGAATTTCTGAATTTTTTATTCAATTATCAATTTTTGTTTAGTGCAAACACGACTAGCAGATAACCATCAAATACATGACTGGAAGGTTGAGCGAATGAGTGATATATTACCTGGAATCGTATGGAATTGTCTCTCCCTCAAGTCAATCTCAATGTTAAAAGTTATTGAAGGTTGAAGTAAGGGGCCGCTAGATTTCGAACAGATTTTGTCCACCAACTTTTTGAATTCCTGTCATCCGGAACATCGAATTCTGCTACGAGATAAGCTGAATGGTAGGTCGTGAATCTATGGGAAATAATTTTCTTGCCAGCAAAGATGAAGTCTTTTTCAAATTATTCAAGGATACAAGCGAGACAACACAATAAAATCAATCAGAACAGTCCAGAACTAGAATAATTATATCAAACCGTATGGAGATCGACACGAATGACCACCTTGCCCCGAACAGAGATCCGCCTTCTCCTTCAAGGACAGAAATCATTCTCTCATTTTCTAACCCTTTGCCTCCATCATTAGTGTTTTAATTACGATTAAAGTTTCAAGATATGATTTAAATTACTATCTAAGAAACTTCCTCAAATGAAAGTCCAAACGAAATCTTGGATATTATAGGGATCTTTTCAAATATACTCTCCAAAGCATGATTCCAACTGCAATATGTCCAAAATCCCCCTGTAGCAGGATGAGGTAGCACCTCATGTTGTAGGCCCCATTTCACAATACGTCTTCTTTCTCCTACCATCTGAGAGAACTCATTTTGCAGTGGGTTCAAGCCATTCTGAACAGCGCACTGACCCAGACCAAACCACCCACAGGAAGGTCTTTTTGCTATTGGCTAGCCCCCTAGCTATCTCCAAAAATTCAGCATCATTTATTGCAGCAATACTACCAAAGCTCACATACAGTAGAGACTTTAGGGGCATGCCTGTCTAGCCAAGAAATGGAGCTTTCATCTCGTTTTTAGTAAGCTACCTTCTGATACATGACCACTGCAACTTATTCCAGATTTTCAGAACTGTTTCAAATAAGTCCCCAGGAGGCCTTGGTTTTGCTCACCATGCTAGCTACCAAATAATAGAAGTCCTCTAGGCCCATGCGTTTACACTAAATAATATCTTGACTTTAGCATTGAATGGAAAACAGGTCGAGCAGCAAAATATGGCTAATTCAAAAACATGTCAGACAAAGATGATTTCTTGTTTCCAAGCAATATGAATAGATAGGACTAGTTTGCAGAAGACTATTCAGTTTTTCATTTTCCTCCTCTTCGAGTTCAGAAAACCACAAATGAAGCAATCTTGTTTGAATTCTTTTTTTCTGAAAAAATGTATATCTGTGCCAACAGGAATGAGGTGGATGCCTGATTAAGCTAAGCTTAATAATTAAAAGTTGTTTTGTATTCATCAAAAGTTCTATTGGACGTTGAGCTGTGGGATTGCCTTTTTCTTCTTTCTTAATTGATCTTTCATTCGAAGTGTAAGTAAAATCTAATATCAGGTCAATTAGGAGAAATTATAATACAGTTTGATACTTCGATCAATTACTCAAAAAAAATCATTCAGGACAGCACTAAGTAACTTCTGTACACACACATATATAATTGTAAAGACAGTGAGTGATCCCGATCTTGGTTATGGCAACAATAAAGCTATGACTGTAAGTGAAGGAAATTAAGTAGTATATAAATACAAAACTTTGATGTGCATGTAACCTTTACATATCTCGTAGAACAGAAAGAACATCATAAGCAATGAAGGAACAGACATTACTCGTCAGTAACACGATCTTAGGTAGTACGAGGCTGTCTGCAACATCTCGAGTGAAGTGCCAGTCTGCATCTGCAATTAAGCAAGCGATAGACTTCTCAACATCCAATAACAACTTAGCCAAACTATCACGAAATGGTATGATACATCTGATATTAAGCAGCGCCACTAACCGTATGACATCTGCAGTAGAAGTTTCATGCGCCAACAAAACTTTAAGGATTTAAAAAAAGGTGAATTGAAGGTAATTAGAAATATAGTTTTAAATTGAGAATGCAGTTATAAAAATGATTGCAATTGTAATTGTAGATCGCTGTTTATTACAATTCATGGTTCATATTTTTTGGAGTGATGATTAAGTAAATAGAGTGGAGTATTGAAGGATTTTTTTGTTTACAAAAGATTCCTTCGGTGAGTAAATGTATTGTTTTAGCGTGAAGAACACTAAGGATTGAAAGGTTATTTGTTTTGAATACGAGGGTGGGTGTACAAAAGACTTTGGAATTAGGATTTTTATATAAAAATCACTGTAATATTTTTGTACTAATTTTCTATCATAGTAAAAATTACTCTCCAGTTTGTAGAGTAGGCAGAATTTAACCGAATCATATTAAATTTTATGTGTTTATTGTTTATTCATCTTTATTTATTTTTGTTATTTTTCTTTCCATTAAATCAGGCTTTTCGTAGTAGTTTACATTTAATGTCATCAATACATTACTAGGGTATTAGTTGTTAATAAATTTATTATAATTTATATATTTTTAATAGTTTTACTAATTAAACATAATATTAAAATCTCTAATAGTTCAATATTATATAATAATAGTTGAATTTATTACATCAAAAAGTTAGTAATGCTTCTAATATATAATATTACCTAATGAATGATAAACAAAGAATCATATATTTTTTTTAATATAATGGCTTTAGTCACCAAATAGCAAAAAATAAACAGCATATAAGTATTGGGAGAAGGACTAAATAATTAAATGGACAAAATAGTATAGTTAACAAAATACAAAAATATATTTCACTAAAATTTTTTTACATATACTAATCATTTACTATTATAAACAATAAGTCCTCGCACTCCTACTCACTTTCTCTATAATACTTGATTAACTCTTTATTTTTACACCCAAACTTATAGCCAAAGAGTTATATTTAGACTAGATAGTCAAGGATGATTTTAATGAATCAAAAGGATAAGCACATCATAAATATATTTCGGAAGGCTAAAAAGACTTTTACAAAATTTTCCAAATATTCCAACTTCCAATATCAATTCTTAATTTCCATCGTACAATGAGTAACCCAAAACCAAAAAACTTTTTTACTCTTATCTCTTATTAGCACAATAAAAGCAAAATCAAAGATTGAACGAAGTGAACAAAAATTCAAAGGCTAGAAAGATAAAATGTCATCGACCAAGTTTGCAAAGGAGAGATAAGAAGAGCCCTCTTTCCTTAGACAACGATTCACCATTCCTTTCAAAGACATAACTCTCTCTCACATTCCTTGTCCTTCTGCCTCCACCATTGATCTTTTGATTGTCTTTTCTATCTTCCCTTTGTCAAGCTTTTTTTTCAAGTGCATCCCAATTTTCCAAATATCACTTACATACCGAGCTATTACTTTCTGGTCACCAAACGAAGGCTGACAAACGATGAGAACTCCTTCGCATATGCCTTCTAATGTGGAATTCCACCCGTTGTGGATCCAAAACCCTAGTGTGCTAGCACAGTAGCACCTCCTGTTGAGGAGCCCATTTAACAATATGTCCTCTTTCACCTAGCTACCGTGTGATGGTATCCATTCGGCAACGGTTCATGCCATTATGAGCCCTGAACTAATCCGGGTCGAACCACCCACAAGAAAAGTTGATTGCTATTGGCTAACCCCCAAGCTATCTCTAGAAATTCGTTCTTATTTATGGCTGCAAGACTCCCAAAGCTCACATAGAGTACAGAATTAGGAGCTTGGGAATCTAGCTAGGAAATGCAGCTTTGGTCTTGTGCTAGTAAACTGCTTGAAGAGGCTGGCAAATACTTGTGAAATGGACCTATCGTGAAATGGGGAGCGGTAAGTCCTGGCATAATCTGCAATTGCATCTTGTTCGAGCTCTTCAAATGAGTTCCAAATGATTCCTGACGAAGCCTTGCTTTCATTTACCAATTCGGCTACCAAACAATGAAATTTTCTAGGTCTTATGTTTTAATTTCCGGAAGATCTTTAAGTGGGGGAATCTCTATAATTGGTTCTTCTAGTTGAGAATCTAAGGGCAACAAATAAAGAACAAAAAAAAAGGTAAGAAACTAAAAGAGAGGACAAGAATGAGGTTTTGTATTTGCTTGCATAAGTTTAGATTTATATAGTTCTCTTATTCCTTTGTGAATTTGATTTTTTTTCCATCACAACAGATATGAATTTATGCAGAAAGTCCATTTCATGTAGGTACAATGCCAAGATAGAGGAAGTGATTCTAAAAGTATGATTGGGGAACATATTGGTTAAACAGAACATGAAAGAACAAAGATGAGATGGAGAGTTAAACATAAAATTCATCACACCCACTCGTAAAAGCTTATAACCTTGCCAGCTGCAATTCATATGCGAGAAGCATTTCTTATAAACTAAGTTTTTTTTAACAATTTTTTTCTTCTTCTCATATTTACAACAGGATCTTAGGGCTTACACTTCAGAAGTTCATACAAAGGTGACTGAGCTGGTTGAGGTACCCTGTTGCTGTAGGTAATCGATAATAGCATTATGAAGCAAATCAGAACTTGAACCGCGTCGAAAGACTGCTAACTTGTTGGAATTTGTTTATGCAAAATATTTGAATTTAAAATGCAACTCCAAAAAAAAAAATCAAAAAAAAATCAGGGTAGTCTCAGATCTTGTCTGCTTTAAGCTAGCACCTAAAAACTACACATCTTACTGGGCCTTATATTATATGAAACATTGATGGTTACTCCAGTAGATCAAGAAAAATACTAACATATACAAGCACAATTTAACCCCATTCAGCAATGTGTTCCTTCCTTAAATCCCTTAATGCAAGCATATAAATATCTATACGCAGAACAAACATAATTTGGAACATCACTGTTGCCCACAATGATCGATTTAAAACAAAATATAAGAATGCGGACAAGGATGATTGCTTTCTTGCCCAAAAACTGCAATTTTATGTTGCACTATGATCAAGAAAACTTGGGAAAATGTATACACAAAAAGTTCCATGGCATATGTATGATTAATGCTGGACATCAATTGAATTGGAAAGATGTCAATCAACTAATATTCTATTTATTTATAGCATCTTTGCCAACTTATCAAAAACTTCTTTTTATTTATCATACCGTTGGACTTCATACTAGTAATCGCATGCATACACACACACAATAAAGTTGTAAATAGTATGCATACACCTTGATACTAAAATAAACTTTTTCTCGCAGAATTGGCAAAGCAGCGAAAACAAGGAAGGAAGAAATGTCACTGTTCTGTAGCACAATCCTTGGAAGCTTAACGCCATCAGCAACAGCTTGAGTGAAGTGCCAGTCGGCATCTGTAATTAAGCAAGCAATTGGCTCATCCTTAACATCCACTAACAACTTAGATAAACTATCACTGAATGGTTTTACACATTTGATATTAAGTAGTGTCACCAAATGTATGACATCTCAGTAGAAGCGTCGTGTTCCAAGAGGCCATCAGGAATTGATTAACAGGTTAAGTGAGGGTAGTTTCGAGGATTTGGAGAGTTGAAGTGAGTGTGGATTATGATGATGGAAAACCCTTTAGGATACAGGATGTTTGCAAGCTGAAGCATGGGATTTATGTGACCTTGTCGTGGTAATGGAAAAACAATTAACGAGCAGCCGATGCCTACCCTTCGTGGCATATGAGACTCTCTTAGGCTCTTCATGGAGCTAGTTCACTTGGATACCTTTGAGTAACTTCTTGCTTTGTGTATATAATACAAGGTGTCATTAGCTAGGATTTAGGGAATTTGTTACTCTCGTCAAATAAAATCATTTGGCTTCGAGATAGAACAATCATATCTTGATATTTCCTTCAAATAGATGATCATAAAATTCAAGAACCTGCAGAAGTCCTTGTCACTCTTCTGTGGCAAATTTGGAGCATCTCAATATTTAAATGCAAGGAAAAAGTGCATGCATGCACAACTCATCAGTTCGCTTGCCTTGATTATCCCAAAAACTATTCCATAATCATTGGAAATGTGCTGTGGTGATTGTTTCTGCTCTGAAATTGTTTGATATAGATCTAGATGCTTGAGATATCCAAATCTTTTATGTGGTAGTGTTGGTGGAAGAATAATAGTTTGGTGATTCTTTCTGCTTTGAAATTGTTTGGCATAGATCCAGATGCTCGAGATACCCAAATCTTTCATGTGGTAGTGTTGGTGGAAGTATATTAGTTTGGTGATTCTTTCTGCTCTGAAATTGTTTGGTATAGATCCAGATGCTCCAGATATGCAAATCTTTCATATGGTACTGTTGGTGGAAGTATATTAGTAAATAACATGCCAAGACATTGAACAAAACCCTCCAACTAAATTTGTCTCGTAGAATGAGTTATGAGACAGAAATCAATTTCCATTTCTATATCAAGTGAGCAGAAATAAACTAGAAAATTTTGAAAACCACAAGTACAAAGAATGCAATAAACATAATCTCAAGGCTTCGATGGCAATATGCAACCTCGTTGCAAAATTAAATATGCATTACAGAGAAGCCTAGAATGATAAAATGTAATTAGTCAAGCTCTCAAGAGAATGGTAAGAAGAGCCTCCTTGCCTTAGACAAAGGTTCACCTTCTCCTTCAAAGACACAATTCTCTGTCTTATCTCCTGTCCTTCTGTGTCCACCATTAGTCCTTTAATTACCCTCTCTATCTCCGTCCTCTCAAGTTTATTATTCTCCAAGTGTATCCCAATTTTCCAAACGTCACTTACATACCTAGAATTTACTCTTTGATCACCGAAAAAAGGCTGACAAATCATGGGAACCCCTTCACATACACTTTCCAATGTGGAATTCCAACCATTATGTGTCCAAAACCCTCCAGTGGCAGGGTGCGCTAGCACCTCTTCTTGAGGAGCCCATTTCACGATATAACCCCTTTCACCTACCATCTCCAGGAATCCATTTGGCAATGGTTCAAGCCATTCTGAGCCCTTAACTAATCCAGGTCGAACCACCCACAAGAAGGGTTGATTGCTATGGAGTAGCCCCCAGGCTATCTCCAGAAATTCAGTCTCACTTACCACAGCAATACTACCAAAGCTCACGTAGAGCACAGAATTAGGAGCCTGGGTATCAAGCCAGGAAATGCAGCTTTGATCTGGTGTTAGTAAGCTACTTGAAGAGGCTGGAAAGTACTTGTGAAATGGACCTATGTGAAATATTGGCACTGGAAAAGCCTGGCCTAATTTGATCAGTGCATCATGCTCCAGTTCTTTAAACGAGTTCCAAATTAGGCCTGAACAGGCCTTGGCTTGGTTACCTATCTTTTCAATCAGTTGATGAAGAGTCGCTGGATCGCGTGTTTTGATCACAGGAAGATCTTTGACTTTCAACGGTGGAAGCTCTTGCACTAATTCTTCTAATCGAGAATCTGAGGAGAGAGAAGGAAGGAGGAAGTGAGAATTACTCAGTTAACGTTTTTAAGTAACATAATAAAAACCTTAAAGAAGATTCTTGCACACACGGGACATAAAGAAGATAAAGCACCTTGAATTGGGAAGTAACCCTTTTCTAGCAGAAGGGGGAAGGAGGCAAATGCAAGAAAAGAACAGACGCTAGTTGTCCGCATAACAACAGTGGGAATCTTAAGGCCCTCAGCTACAGTGTGAGCGAAGTGCCAAATAGCATCTGTGATCAAGCAAGCAACAGGCTCTTGATCCGTAGCTCCTAATAACAACTTAGCCAAGCAATCTCGAAAGGGCTCAACACACTTTGCATTGAGGACTGAGAAAAGGACTATACCATCTTCAGTTGAAGCCTCATTTTCTAACAACCCATCAGGAATTGCAAAGAAAGCGAAGTGAGGGTACTTTGAAGGATTGGGAGCATTGAATTGAGTGTGGATGATTGTTATGGAAAATCCTTTAGAATAAAGGATGTTAGCAAGCTGAATCATAGGATTGATGTGGCCTTGCAAAGGCAATGGGAAGAGTATTATTTTCCGACACTTCCTTTGCTGCATGTAGGACTCTCTTATATTCTCCATGGAATCGAACCTTTTCCCCTGATTTGTTATGGCTTCTTGATTCTGATATTGCATGTATGAATGAAAGATATAGGTTTAAAGTTTCCCAGCAATCTGAAGCTGCACTTAAGCCAAATGCCTTTTGACCAATCACATAAATGCCTTCTGAAATAAAGAGTTGATTCTTTTTGGAAACAGGGAAAAGTCAGCCCTACCCACATGCCTTCTGACCAACCGATTAAGATGCATTGCATTCTTGGGTGTGTCCACCTCAGCGTACTGCTGATTTCTTTATTGCAATATGAACTGATTCAGCTAAGTTCATCAGACTGGGCTCCCTTCATTGATTTTTTTGTGAAAAAAGTTAAAAGTCAGGTTGTTGAGTGTTCTATTTTCCTCTTTAAAAAAAACCAAATTTGGTATTTTGTATTCAGAAAGTAATGGACACTTAATCTGTTAACAAACAAACTGACAAAAGTACTTGATAGGCAATTTTGAAAAATTGAAATACTCAAATAAAAAAAAAAATCTATATACTCAATTGAAAAAAAGATAAAACTCGATGTACTTTTAGTGCATTTATCCCAAAAATAAATTTTGACAACTAAAACCAAGGAAGGCATACCCGTCTGATTAATATGAGTTTTGGGCTGAATATCAGTGACAATTGAATGTTGATATTTAAAATGTGTTTTGGGCTTTCGGCTAATAGGAAAAACGAAATGGGTCTGTTTCTCAGTTTTGGCTCAAGCTCCTCTAAGGCTTGCCTTGGAGCGAAATCCAGCTGGTTTTGGGCTTATAAATCCTGGTTTTAAGCAGCTTCAAGACCGTGAGGAGCTGACGTAAAGCAATGACATTAAACAACATAGAATTGAAATCAGTATACTTCCGGTTAATGGGGCCATCTGGACTCTTATTTTTGTACTTTGTAAATAATTTGTATGGATTCTATCTTTGATGAACTTATTTTTGTTAAGACTTCTACTTTTCTGCCCAATATAAAATTTGAAATGTACAGAAAATAATTTACTTGCTAGTAACCAATATATATATATATATATATATATATATATATATATATATATATATATATATATATATTTCATATCCAATATAAAAAAGAATTTAATGGGAAATTATTTTTTATTATAAAAAATATAAAACATTATAATGCACTTCTTATATAACTTTTAAGAGTTAACACAATTTAACGGCAACATCTTAATAAAAAAAAAACACTATGTTATAAGAGTAAATTATAAATTATTCTCTCTCGTTTTGAGAAACAAATTAATTAGTTCCCTTCTTTTTTAAAATTAATTATTTAGTTTTTTATTTTTAGTTCCGTTAATAATTTATTTCTTTATCAGCTTTAAATTAAATTAGTGGTTTTTTTAACAAATTATCTTTCATTTGATGTTTTATTTTTCACTTTCATCCACTTTATTTCTCTCTCCTAAACAAAAATCAAAAAATAACAATTTGAGAATAAAAATTATTATTCTAATGAAAAACTGACGAAAGAATAAACTTATATATGGACGGAGTTAAAATATGAAAAACTAAATAATTAGTTTTTTGAAAGAAAATGTAATAATTAATTTATTTTTCTAAACAAAAGGGACTAATTTATCATTTACTCTAAGTTATAATTAGCATTTATACAATTCTCAAAAAAACAAAAATAAACAAAAAAAACAAAAACAAAAATCAAGTAGCATTTATGTAAATCCTACATTAACTTGCACGAATTTTGTATGGATAATTGGCACTAAGTTTATACAATTTACTTGAGTGGGTTTTGACTACTTAGTTATTTAAAAAATATATTTGAGTTTTGCAACTAACGAAACCAATGCCACTGATCACCTTTTGTAATCTTGTATTTTGAATATATATATATATTGCAGTTAGATCGAATTTTGTTTAGCATTATTTAATAGATAAAGATATTTTAACAAGATAGTAAATTATGGAATGATCATGCTACAATAATTTCAGGCTAAGCTAGCTGAGGAAAACTTCAAGCTTTCAAGTTTCAACTAAAAGCATCTCTTCTTTACTGAGGCTACTGTCCCAGCAGTCACGAAGCCAGTTCCGGCGACATTACCTTCTTCCACTACTCAGAAGTCTTCGAAATATTTCCTTCCATCGTTACCATGAGTACGGGCCGGGTCCTCGTTCCGTAATTCTTGTTAAGAGATCGCCGTTCAACAACAATTGATTTGTTTATAAACTATGATCAAACAATTTGTTGCCTTCTAACTCCCACATTTGCTTTATCACTTTGCATGGCAAATTAAAACCCAATAAGGCAAACTGATGCGGTTGAATGATAAAATGTGACGGATCAAATTATCGACGGATTGGTAAGAAGAGCCCCTCTTCCCGTAGACAAAGATCCACTTTGTCCTTCAAATATAAAATCCTCTCTCTCTATTCTTGCCCCTCTGCCACCACCATAAGTCTTCTAATTGCTTTCTTTTATCTCCCTTCTCTCTGCTCTTTTCTCTACATGGATCCCAGCTCTCCCAATATCAGTCACATACCTTGCATTTATCGTTTAGTATCCAAAACTAGGCTGACAACGCTTAGGGACTCCTTCACATGCACACTCTCCAACGTGGAATTCCAACCATTGTGTGTCCAGAAAACATCCGGTGGGAGGGTATGATAGTATCTCTTATTGGGGAGCCCATATCAAAATATGCCCCCTTTCACCTACCATCTGTAGGAAACCATTTGGCAATGCTGCAAGCCAATTTAAGCCTTGGACTAATCCAGGCCGAACCGCCCATCAGAACGGTTGGTCGCTATTGGCTAGCCCGCAAGCCATCTCCAGAAATTTGGACTCGTTTACAGCTGCAATGCTTCCAAAGCTCACGTAGAGAACAGAATTAGGGGCTTGGGTATATAGCCAAGAAATGCAGCTTTTGTCCTGTCTAAGTAAGCTACTTGACGAGGCTGGGAAGTACTAATGAAATGGACCTATTGTGAAGATGGAAAATGGAGAAATCTCTGCGTAGCTTGCTCAACCTTTTCAAACGAGTTCCATATTAGCCCCGAGGAGGCCTTTGCTTGATTTACCATTTGAATTTCATTGGTCAAAGCTCTTGCTTCTAGCTGAGAACCTAAAAGAGAAAGAAATGAAGAGCAGAACATTCTTGCTTTAGGTTTTCAAAAACCTCATTCAAGCAAACCATCAAACACGCTACAAGCAAGCATACTCGAGCCAAAGAGAGAAAAAAAGGCATCTTGAATCGGGAAGTAACCCTTGTCTAGCAAACGCGGGAAGAAAGCAAATGCAAGAAAAGAGCAGATACTCGTAGTCCGTACAGCAATTATTGGGAGCTTAAGGCCTTCAGCTAGCTACAGCTTGAGCGAAAACCCATACGACATCTGTGATTAAACAAACAATGGGCTCCTCCAAAACATCTAACAACAACTTAGACAAGCAACCACGGAAGGATTCAACACGGTTGACATTAAGGGTTGAAAAAAGGGCTAGACGTCTTCAGTTGAGACCTCTTCATGAGCTCTGGATTCTTTTCCTGATATCTTGACTTTTATTTGTTCGATAAATCACTTGCATCATGCATTAGTCATTTAGTCGTAAAATAAAGCCAAACATTTCATAGGAGCCCCTTAACAATTGCTTCCAAGTCCAGTGTCGAGTTTCAGCCAATATGAATACAAATGCATTGAATATTATAATTATGAATTCACCGAAAACAAATAAACAATGGACCATAAAATATTCTACGCTCTGCAAAAATACAGTAGTAATATGCCCAGCCTACAAGAAAGCTTGTGATATTTGTTCAAAAAATTAAAAAAGAAGAAGAAGAAGGGAATGGTTATCTTTTTTCGCCAATATGATAGATTCAGATAAAGAATTTTATTTTTTTATTTAAAAATTAGTCTATGGTAATCTTTTTTTATCGTTTCTTGAATTCTTGAAGAGTAAAAATAGAATAAAGGAATGCAGGTTAGGTCCATGCAGGCTTGTAAGTGAGCCTTTACGGTCGAGTCTCGCAGGCCAAGCCCACGTTTACAGCAGGTCTTAAATTAAATTAAAAATTAAAAATAAGAAACGGAGAAAATGCTGCAGACGGAGGCGCTTTCCGCACTACGCTCCCACTTTTCAACAATGGACGAACATGTCCCTAAAATCTGATACCTAGGAAGGTACATTGCTTTTTCTTAACGGTTTGTATCTCTCTTTTATTTGGTGATAATTTGTCAAAAGTGAAATTTTAAAATATTTAAGAAATAATTAATAATATTTATTTTCTTGATTGACTTTGAAAAAGAGACACAAAGAAGAAAGACAAAAATTATACCGAGATCCATAAAAACAAATGATAAGAATATTTTTATTTAAACTCAATTTTTTTAAAAAAAATTATTCTATTTTTTTATCTATTTTTCTTTTATGAAGTAAGTAGTAGTAATTTTTTTGAAATAAGATAAATTTCTCACGGTTACTTACTGCCTCCCACCTTAATGAAAGAGATTAAAAAACAACGAATTTTGTTAAGATTTTCATTCTATCTTAATCTTTGCTTGACCAAAATAAGAAAGAGTACATTATAAATTAATCCCTTCAGTTTTAAGAAGCCAATTATTTAAATTTAAAAAAAAAAAAAACTAATTATTTAATTTTTATATTTTTAATTTTGTTTGTAACTTATTTTTTTATTTATTTTGATTTTTAAAAAATATGAAAAAAATTGACAAAAAAATAATATTTTATGAAATAAAATAATATTAAATTAAGTATTATCACAGTAGTTAAGGAATTTAATAATTAATTTTTGAAACAAAAAGGATCAATCAATCAGTTTATGAAAAAAATAATTTAATAAAAAAAGAAAGAAAGAAAATCTTCACCCTCCTTATCAAGAAAACAAAATTAAAAATGCTTATTAAATTGATTTTAATTTCATATATCCTCATTGTTGGTATCCAAGTCACAGACTTAGAGCAATTGTTGATTATATATCCATATATTTCACCTAATTCTCACTTTAGTTTTTAGTTTCATCGTTTTCTTTCCATAGTTTCTTAATTTCACGATGAAATCTAATTTTGAAGAAATTTTTGTTTTTGTGTAAACAATGTTTTTTTAGCCGTGCAAGCGGTGTGTAGAATGGCACGTGGTGGTTGATAGGTACAAGCGGTTGGGGTTTTTATGTGATGATTTGGATGATAATTTAAGGTGGCACTGCTAGCAGTAGTTTGATAATTTATGGCTATATTCGTTACATTGACCAAAAGAAAGGAAAGGGGGAGTGTGGTTAGATTATGTTGGAGAGTGAATAGTGCCTCCTGGCGCAGACATGTTATGCTCCTCCGAGTTTTCCAGCTCGTTTTACTATTGTCGCCTCAAACCCAAAATTCCAACTATTTTAAGCCAATTTACCTTGAAAATCTTGTAAAATTGTCCATTACATTTGTTAGTTATATCCGTAACTTCTAATTTGTAAAATGTATCGCTTCAAAATCAAAGGGAACAAAAAATCGCAAAATCTGGTAGGCAGCTAAAATTCGTTTTATTTTTCCCTCAATTATAAAAATTGAATGGCAATTCATGTTTAAATAGAAAATGATGCATCACAACATTACACAAAGACTAAAACAACATGGTGTGGCCTAGCAGGCTTATTGAGTGAAAACTGCTAAATCAACCTATAAAGAGGTGTTATTCAGTCTGGAAAATAATGGGCTCTAATGATAAAATATGACTAACCAAGCTGTCCAGGGACTGGCATGAAGAGCCACCTTTGCTGAGACAAAGCTTTGCCTTCTCCTTTAAACTCAAGATTCTTTTTCTAATAGCTTCACCCTCTTCATTTGCTAATAACAGTTCGACGGTCCTTTCAATCTTCTCTCTATCCAGCCCATTCCCTAGTTGCACCCCAACTCTCCAGACATCACTTACGTATCTTGCATTAACCAATTGGTCAGTGAAACGAGGCGTGCATATCATAGGAACCCCTTCACAAATACTCTCCAATGTCGAATTCCACCCACTGTGAGTCCAAAATGCACCAACAGCAGGATGAGCTAGCACTTCTGATTGTGAAGCCCATTTGACAATGTGCCCTCTGTCATTCAAATCCTCTAGAAACCGATGAGGGAGTGGCTCAAGCCATTCCGCACCACGGACTAATCCAGGTCTAACTACCCACAAGAAGGGCTGCTTGCTATTGGCTAATCCCCAGGCCACCTCCAGAAACTCTGTTTCATTTATTGCAGCAACACTCCCAAAGCTCACATACAGTACAGATTTTGGTGCTTGTTTGTCCAGCCAGGAAAGGGAGCTTTGATCTTGTGTAAGCAGGCTACTTGAAGAGGATTGGAAGCGGTTGTGAAATGGGCCAATTGGAAATATTGGAATGGAAAACTCATGGCGAAGTGCAGCTAAAGGAGACTGTTCAAGCTCTTCGTACGTGTTCCAAATGACTCCTGAAGATGCCTTAGTTTCATTGACCATGCTAACTACTAACTCGTATACTGATTCTGGGTCGCGCGAGTTGATCACTGGAAGGTCTTTGACTTTAATTGGTGGAAGCTCTGCCACTGTCTCTTCCAACCGAGATTCTGATACCAAAACGACAAGGCTTGTAATGTGAAAAACAGAGTGATGATTGGAACTTGTAGCAGAGTTGAAGACTTAAAAAAGAAGGTCCATAACATGCAATAGTACAAGAAGACAGCCAAAATATCTACCAGAAGAACCTAAATAAATCAACAAATCCATCACAAGTGGCTACCAAAAGAAAAGGATATAAAAGAGTTCCTCTTGCCTAAATAATTGCCTGATTCATCAATAATTATCTCACATGGTACTTGAAACACTGAAACAAGGTCTGCGTTAGAACTTGGAAACTCATATGTTACAGAGACAATACCTCTAAATGCGTTGTAAATAACTTCAAAGAAGAAAAAAGATATGCAGATATTTCAAACTAGTATAGTACAGGGAATGAAATTATTTTAGCCTTCCAGAGATTCAAAAGACCTTTATCTAATAACCAGCAGAGAAATTGAAAAAAATTACCTTGTATGGGAAGATACCCTTTTTCTTTCAGCAATGGAAAGGCAGTAAAAACACGAAAAGATGAAGCACCACCAGTCCTTAAAACTATTCTTGGAAGTTTAAGACTTTTGGAAACTGCATTTGTAAAGTGAAAGATAGCATCTGAGATCAAGCAAGCAATAGGATCCTCTGCAGCATCAGATAGCAACTTCGACACGCAATCTCTAAAAGGGGCAACACATTTGATGTTAAGGAATGAAACTAGATCTATTATATCTGTGGTTGAGGCTTCAGTTTCAGTTAACTCTTCTTGAATGCAATGGAAGGTGAGGTGACGATACTTTGAAGGATCTGGAGAGTTGAAGGTTGTGTGGATTATGGTTATAGAGAAGCCTTTGGAGTGGAGAATGTTTGCAAGTTGAATCATGGGGTTAATGTGGCCTTGCAGTGGTAATGGGAAAAGAACCAATCTGCGGCCTTTTCTTTGATCTATTTGGATGTTCTTGCCTAGGTTCTTCATGATCCAGCTTCTTCTTGCAGCCTGGAACTTGGAGTCTCCGCTTCTTATGGCTAGAAATGTATGGAGGAGAATTCTGAATAATTAAGGGTGCCTCTGCTAGGGTAGAGTGTAGAGACAACGAGCAAATGAAATTGGAATTTACCAGACATGACAGGACCGAATGGGATAACTGATGAGATTTTACACTGATAGGACGATTATGGATGAAGTTTTTGCGTAAGTTTAGTTTGGTCTCTCAATTTTTTCAATACGTACATCAAACACTATACAACTTGTCATATTCAGTCCAGTCTTATCTTATTCAGCGTATCATAAGTTTGTTGAATGGTAATTTTGAGCATCAAAGTTCTTCACCGATGTATGCTAAAAACATTTGTATGTTTGGTGGTATCCCAACCTAACCTACGTAACCTGCATAATTTTAAGTCTTGTACACTTGATGAATTTATTTGTCCCTCTCACACTTGTTCTGTTTACTATTGTTGTGCTGTGTGTGTTGTGTTGTGACTTAAGAAAAAAATAATATTTGGATAAATTATATTAGTGTGCTTTTGAGATGTAGAATGATCAATAAAAATTATAATAAAAATATTTAAACAAATAAATTTTATGTTTATCAAACAATTTATGACTTATTGACTTAGTGAACATGTTTTTTATGAAAGTAATTCTTGAAGTTAAAAATAAATAAATAAGATGATAGTATATATAGACACATCATTTAACAAATTCAAAGATATAAAAAAATAAATAGAATTATGTAAAACACTAGCATTTGGTACGTGTAATTTAAAAAAATAATAATAGAGGAAGTTGTCGTTTTAATTAAAAAAAAATAGACTGCAATAAATAGCTGTGTTTTTTTATTAAAAATAGAGTGTACCAGAGTTAAATTATAAATTAGTCCCTTTTGTTTCAAGAAACAAATTAATTAGTCTTCTTTGTTTAAAAAACTAGTATTTAGTCATTTAATCAATGTTGCATAAGTTTAATTTAATATTGTTTTTATTTTAAAAATATCTTATTTACCCATGAATCTTTTCATTTTTTTCCCTTTTTCTATTTCTTGAAAGAAAAAATCAAAATAAATAAAAAAATATTTAAAAAAAACTAAATTACAAGTAGATTTCAAAACATGAAGACTAAATGATTAGTTTTTAAAACGAGAATGACTAATTGATTGTTTCTCAAAACAAGATTGACTATTTTATAATTTACTAAGTAAATATGAAAAAAAAAATAAGGGGACTGGTTTTTGTTTTAAGAAATAGAAGGGGAAAGAAAATATGAAAAAAAAATGTAAAAGATTGATGAAAAAATAAGAGATTTTATGAAATAAAAATCATATTAAATTAAACTTGTACAACCCCGATTAAAAGATTAAATAATAATTTTTAAAATGAGGGAGACTAATTAATTTGTTTATTGAAACTAGAGGGACTGATTTATAATTTACTATTATTTTAATAGAAAAGCAGTTTTTTTTTTTTTTTAAGAATGGCACGTACGTACTTTGATTTCAAAATAAATAACATTGCTTTTAGGCTAAAAATACTAAAAGCAATTGTATTTTAAAACCAGAGTAATATCGAATAGATACAGGCCAAATTTATTATTAAACTATCTATGGTTTCATGTTAAGAAAATTTGTAAAATGTTTTTACAAAATTAATGAGAAAGAAAAGTAAATACGACATAAAACAAAATTTGTCAATAGAAAACAAACCCAAAGAATTGTAGGAATATAAGTCTCAATTTAATGCAACAAACCAATATAGAGGTTGCGTTTTTAAAATCGTCCGATGAAGATTTCAGTTTCAATTGATGTACAAGCTAATTTGAAGATATATTTACCACTAAACCTAAAATAAGGGACAATTACACTATGAATTTGCTAATTTTTAACTTTTTCTCAATCATGTATATGAATTTTAATTTTTTTCGTTCGAATATACCAACTTTATAAAAAACTACTAATCAAGTACTTCTATTAATTTTTTTATTAACCGATGACATGTTTATTATCATCAAAATATCAAATTAGAATTTTAAACTCTTTTTTCTCGACTGAATAAATGGAATTTAATTTTTTTTAGTATATTAATTTTTTCAAAGCTGTCAATCAAATATTTTTATCAAGTTTTCCTTTAACTAATAACATGTTTGTTACATTTGGCATGCCAAATTATAATTTTATTCCTTTTTTATTGAGGGAATCTTTCTCTCCATATGCTCACAAGTAATGAATTTTTTTATAAAAAAAATCTCACGTTTATGCTTGCCTTCAATTTTTACACTTAATCCTATTTGAGTTTAGTTCAAGAATTTTATAACTAAAAAAATAATGTTTTAATTTTATTTGTGAAATTTTGAAATTATAGAATAATTTGAGAAGAAAGTTACCTTTTAAAAAAATCAAATTTGGTATTTTGTATTCGGACAAGTAATGGACACTTAATCTATTAACAAACAAACCGACAAAAGTATTTTACATGCAATTTTGAAAAATTGAAATACTCGAATAAAAAAAATTAAAATGTATATAACCAATTGAAAAAAAGACAAGACTCGATGTACTTTTAGTGCATTTATCCCAAAAAAAAAATTACATTTTTCTTTCTAACTTGATTTGATATTTATTTCAAGGAAAAACTACATAATAAATAATGTTAACTTTAAATCTTTTCATTTAGTTTCAGTATATCTACTTTTTTGAAAATACCAATCAAGTTTTTACGTCTAATTTTCTATCTAGTGATGATGTGCCGGTTAATATAGAAAATTAAATGACTATGTTGTCTATTTTTTTTTTTAGTTTTCTCCTATCAAATTGTTATTATTGTTTAATTATTAATCGAGAAAAAAAAACAAAACTGCTTTGCTATTTTTTTAATTAAGCTGCTTTACTTTATTTCTTTTAATTGTTTGATCAAAATATTGTAATAGATATTTTAATATATTTTTTAATATAATATTCTTAATTAAAACTCATTTGTAAAGGATTTGTAATTAAAAATAAGATACATTAAAAAATGACACCATGACATACCAATCAATAACATTTTTAATACCTGTGAAAAGTCAAACGAGATAATCTTTTTGAAATAAAAATTAAGTACTAAGTTTAGTGTTAAGTAACTTGTTAAATTTTGTTTTTTTTTAAAAAAAATCACTTGAAACAAGGATTAATTTTACTTACTAAAATAAAAGCATTGTCATAATGTGTTGCTACCTAAGTTTATAAAATGCAAGAAATTTTATATTACTTATGGAATAACTTTCGATGTTTACTATTAAAGGAATATAAACATAAAGACAAAAGAAAAATATTATAAAGAAAATTAAGAAAAAAATTGAATCGAGTTGAAAATATTTTTATCATTTTTTTATGAGTTCGGAAGCGATGTCTTTTTTTTTTTTTTTCTATCTTGTCTCTTAAAAAATGAGTCCATAGAGTACACAATAATTGTTTTTTGAGTATTTTAAAATTTATCATTATAATGTTTTCACACCCACTAATTATCAATTAATCCATCAATTTTTAAGTATAAATCAATACTTAGCTTGTCTCGGATTTTTCCTTTGCACCCGCCAAGGGCATTATAACACTTATATCATTATTGATCACATGCTCGAAGAAGGAGAAAAGATAGCAGCTGCTTTGCTATCCTTTTTTTATTATTAATTAAACTGCTTTGTTTTTTTAATTAATAATTAAATAATAATAATAATCTGAAAGGAGGAACAAAAAAAAAAGACAACATAGTTATTTAGTTTTTTTATGTTAACTACCACATTATGAAAAATTAGACGAAAAAATTTTATTAATATTTTTGAAAAAATTGATATACTAAAAAAAATCGATACAATAGATTGAAAAAAAAATTCAAAATTAATATATTTTTTATGTAATTTTTTTTGTATTTCAATACCTATGCAGACATGTTTGTATACAAAACAAACAAACTTCATTGGGTGAGGGATGTTCTTGCTAGCAAGTTATATCATGAGTGATGTCACGGGACACGTAACAAGTCACATGCAATACCCAGTAATTACAATAAAACATCACTACACGGATATCGATATAGACACATCATTCCAATTTTTTTAATAGAATTAGTGCAACATTTCTCGCACGATTCATTGTAATTTCTTAACAGTTATAGTTAATAATAAATATCTATATGAAAGTTTCGATCCTCGCTTTTAACTTCGTAGACTGAGCAAAATGGTTTCTCTGTTGAGTTCCTTAAAGTATTTAGATTGAATGAAATGTGGAATTGTAGATAATTAATAATAGTTGAAATTATAGGTTGGTAATTGACAAACAAATTACATCCAAAAGCTATAAATGTCTAATTGACAAAATTAGAAATTATAGATACATTTTTGTTTTTTTTTTTTTTTAAATATGGATAGGCTATTGACATTGGGTTACAACTTACAATAATTACAATTTACAGACCTCAAACAAACAATTTGAAGTTTACCTCCTTTGATTTTACCTGTTGTGATACAATGGCAGGTACAACACTATTTCCAACGAAAGTGGCACGTGACCCGTGCTTGGTGCCGTCTGTCTGATCGGTATTCCCCACATTTTTTCCCCAGTTTCTTTCTTCGATGACAATGCTGCGGCAATTACTACTAGAGACAAGACGACGCAGGTACCTTGCACATCTACCCATTGACTTGCTTGTCCGTTGCGACTGGTAGGTTTTCCAAACTTCCCTCGTGCTCCAACCAAAAACCCCATTTAGAGATGCGTTTGGTAACCATATACTAATTCAAATCGAACACTATGCGAATTGATTGACTCGCGAGTTGGGTTTTTGTTTTGGATATGTTTACGCAAATCACAACATTATCTTCAGTTGCACGAGTCACACCACCAACAACTATAGATATGTCCTTCCATGGATAGCATAATCTCTGACTTCATCGCCTGCTTGGATTGATCGTAAGAATTTCCAACACTGATAGTATGTAGAAGAGATTGTTCCAAATTGATGAAGCCATTGTCTCGAATAGCCCCAATATCGATTGTGTTAGACCATGGCTGGTGTTGATTGGGTTTTAACCGAGAGAGAAACTCAAGTTTCATTTGGATTTTAACGATGATGAAATTGAATTGATTAGAATTACTGTTTTTTGAGTTTGAATTCAAGCTTTACATTGATGATGGGCTTTACATCCTGATTCATATTTTTACAATTCATATTTACGATAGGCTTATGATTTCGAATCAGATTTTAAAAATATGAATCTAAATCCTAATAGATACGAATTGAATTCGAAGCTCCATCAAATTTATATGTGATAACTAGTTTTGAAAATAAGATTAAGTTAATGATTTATATATTTTTAGAATTAAGAAAAATAGTGATAAAATTGAGGTTATTTCCTACATCTTATATGAAGAAAAAAGAAGAGAAGATAAAATAAGACTAAGATGAAAGGTAAAAAAATAAAAAATAAAATTGGGCAAAAAAAATGGGACAACCCCATTTGTTCCTAGTTTTCTTTATTTCTTCTCCTTTCTTCTTCACCAAAGAACTCTCTCTACTACCCCATTTCCCTCCTCCATTGTCTTGTGTTAAAGGACATTTAGGTAGATTAAGCTTGAAGGGCTTGGAGGGATTTTAGAATTAAAATTAGGGTTGAGGACCTATTTGTCAAAGGAAAGAATTTTGTTATTTGGCTTTAAATTGAGATTTTTAAAATATATTTATTGATGATTTTGGAGTTAATTTATATTAGATTTGTTTTCGAATAAGAATTGACATAGGTTAGGATTATGGTTTGAATTAAATTTGGAGGTTTGGTGATTAAATACTTAGTTATGCTAATTAATGCTTGAAATAAGTTAATGGCGGTGTGAAATTGATTATTGGATTATAAATTTAAGAAATTTTCAAGTTGGTTGAGATGATAAATTGTAGAGGTAAGTTGTGAGAAAACTTGAATTAGAAATTAATGGTGAATTGTAGAAATAAGTCAGTGTGAAAAAATAAATTAAAAGTTAATGATGGATTGTAGAGACAAGTTGTGCAAAAGCTGAATAGAAATTTGATGATAAAGAATTGGTTATAGCAAAGTGTAAAATTGAGTTGTTAGAGAAAAATTGTAGAATGAACTTGGGATATAGTTGGGTAATTGTTTAGAATTGATTGAGAGAGTACTAGCTTAGTTAAAATCCTTGATTTGAATCTTTTCGATCAATTTTATTCTTGTAAACTATCTTGTATTCTCATTTTTAGAATAATTCATTTGCTTTCAAATTATTCCTTGATATGTGATATTAATGATTATTCGATCATTTTGTATCATTAGATTCTTCGGAGTCGACGACTCTATCTCGACAACATTGACTTTGCATGATCTTTCAATTTGCACTCGTGAGTGGATAGTATATAACATATCATGTTTTTAAGTTCTTTGATATCTCCTTCATGCACTATTGATTTAATTATAACATAATCACATTTATTAAAACTTAGATGGAAACGAGACTTCTTATGAAATTTTGAAACGATTTGATATAAAAAATAATTTGATATAATTATGAAAAATATTGATCATGTGTTTTATTATGATTATGTGGTTTGAATAAGTATTTTTCTTAAGGTTTGATTCAATTACATGAATTTAATTACTTTAATTTAAATACTTGATTATGATTTTATTCAAATAATTAAAGTAAGTATTTGAATATGAATTTGTATTCAAGCTTATACTCTAATTATGATATTTTATATTGAATTACATTACCGAGTTTAGTTTAAGCATGAATTGTGTTTGGATATGTTGATTTGGATTCTTGGAATATATGTAAGTTTACTCTATTTTCGATTTATTTGACTACTTTAAGATACCTAACTATGAGTGGCTAGCTTGTGAGCTCATTGACACGTAATACTCTAGCTAGCAAAAAAGGTGTAAGGCTAGCCCATGTATTGATCAATATATAAAAACCTAGATATAGAGGATGTAACCTTTGGATATTCGCATCCAATGATACATTATTCTACGTGTAGATTTCAATGCTTGATATGATTTGAATTGATTATTAATAATTCGACGTGTGATTTTGATTGTAAGTATTTTCATATGAGATTTTGGTTTGAATTTGAATTATTTGAAGATATGATATACAATTTGATATTTAAAATATATATTTGACTTTGAGAAATAAACATTAAATCTTGAGCATATTTTAAATTATTGTCCATTGATCTTTTTTTTTCTTCACATATGTTATATAATATCTACTTATTGAGTTATTGTTTTGCTCACACCACATTATTTTAGCTTTGCATGGTTATGAATTTTTTTTTTTAACTCCTCGGAATCGTTATCTTGAAACCGGCACATTGATCGTCCAGCTTATTTATTTGTGACATTTTGAACTTGTATTTTTATATTTTTTCTACATTCTAGAAGCTCTGCAATTATATTTATGGGAATTATGTTAAGTTGATAATTATTATGTTGGATATGTTTATGTATTATGAATTAAATGTGCTATTATGGATTTGAATATGATATTAATTAATTAGGATGTGATATTATGAATCAATGAGAGTTGTGTTATAATAGTGATTAAGAATTTTACCTTGGGAAATGATATTTGATTACTAGAGGTTCAATAATTAAAATTAAGGTATCCGAGACTTGCTTCGATGGAGGTGGGTCCCATAACTCTCTCGATTCTTGCGTCGAGCATAGCCCATTTCAAGGGTCGTGATTTGGTTTTGAAAAAAAATATGCTTACTACATTTAATATATTGCTTAAATATACAATATATTTCAACCACTACATGCATAATTAAATATATTAAGATAATATTTCATTTGTTAATTTTATAAAAAATTCAAAAGCACAAAATCAAATAATCTTAATAAAAATTTGTCTTGACCTAGATAGGAAGTATGGTAAAACTTAAAAAAAAAAAAAAAGCAGAAATGTAATGAGTTAAGTAAATAAAATACCATAGGTTTTTTTGTTTTGATTTGAAAGTCATTCACCTGTAACAGTTATTACCTCCACAATTTTTGGAAGTAAATATGCACGATAATCATCGATAAATCTACCTCCTATACTAATTTTTTCTAGAATGCGAGTCAATATGGATCGAGCTTAAAATATATAAATTATATTCTTATCTCTTACCTTTAATTTGTCTCAAGAATCACATGAATCGAACCTCCGTACATGAAGTTATGCCCAAAATACTCGAGTATATTCAAATAAAGAAATTTTTTTTTAATTTATTTAGGAAAATAACTCCAATTGCACTAATTTTCTCCAAATTGCCTTGATCTTTTTTATCAATCTTTTTTTATTCTCTTCGAGTGCTCCGATTCCAATCAATTGGCTTTTTCTTCTAGTTTTTTTTTATGATTTTTTTCTTTTCTTTTTTCAAAAAAAATAATAAGATGATGAAAAATATAATAAATCAATTCTTGAAAAGACATATAAGTCAATTTATCATGAAATTGAATTAATAAAAAAAAACAATTATATATAATTTTTAAAAAATGTAGTCGTCATTGTGAAATAATATGTATTATTTAAATTTTATAATAAATAAACTCTAAATTTCAACCTAGTTTCATATTGATTTTTTTCATATTTAAATTTTATATTTTTTAAATATTATTTTTAATTTTGGATTGAATCAATATAGATTCAAATTTGATTTATTTAATAAATGTGTTAACGGATTTGGATCATAATCGAATTCGAATAAAAAAATTTATTTATCAAATTCATTTAATTACATCAAATTAGGGTCAAGTTTTAATCAAGATCCAATCTATTTACAATTCTATTGGTAAGCATTCGTTCGTTATGCCCATCTTCTATCTTGTGCAATAAACAATGACAGAACTAGACATTTTGTATAATTTATGTAGTTACTTGATACTTACAGAAAATAATATATTATGTAAAAAATGAGTGTCAACATCATGATCGAGTTGCAAATTAAAGGCATAATCATGTGATGATCTTGTCTCATTTTATTCACTTTATAACATCTTTTCTACCATGATAATAAAATATTTATAAAACCAATACATGATACATGTTTTGAAAAGGTTTTTGGATGTATGAATGCATGTATGTCATATAATATAAATTAACATCGTTTCAAAAGCACATGAGTGGAGCAAATATAAAATAGTATGTAAATGAATACTTGTTCATCCTTTTACTAGGAGTTGATGATCATGATAAATTTGTATATTATTTTTATAGTAATGTACTTCTTAAATTAAAAAAGTTATTATTTTATTGAGGGATAGACACTTGAGTTGTATATATATATAGAGAGAGAGATCTAAGAATTTGATAAGACAGACGAGGATAAAGATGAGAAAGCCATAAATAAAAACTTGGATATTGTATAGAAAACTAAGAAATTAACCTTTTTGAACTGTTTTTCATAAATGATGCCCCTGAGGATGCGTGAGATTTTAGGATTTGGATTGATTATATTTATTGTCAAGCCTTCTTGAGGGGACTTAAAAAATGGTGGTGATGTCTTCTAAAACTATACAAGAATGGATTGCAAACAACTTAGCGAGTGGCTCTCTGTGAATGTATATATGTGTGTAAAGGTTATTGAAGTTGAAGTTATTGGACTTTTAATTGTTGTCTTTAATGAGGGAATGAGTCCTTTTATATGGTAGAAATTTATGATATAAGACATATTTTTAGTGTGTAGGATTACGGGGCTATGAAATCATAAAAAAGGAGAGCTTATAATTGTTAGAACGCTTAGATTTGGTTGGCTTTGTGAAGGAGCCAAATTTCATACATTACCATCAATGATGACAATAAGTGACGAAATCGAAGAAAATAAAAGGAAAATTGATGATAATAATTCAAGAAATGAAAAAATTACTCACTTAGTTCAGATCATTTTTAATTTTGAAAAATTATATTTAATTGATTGAAATTGAAAATATAAAAATTCATTGGATCGAATTCATAATAGTGAAATTTTTTTAATGAATTAACAAAACCTGTTCAAATAGAAGTTTAGCTTTTTTACTGTTTTTTTCATGGGAGAAACGAGAAAGTCCTTGGGTTGCTCACAGATTTGATCAACATTAATATAAAAAAGGAATATTTCCATCCGATCGATCAGTGCAATCGAGGTGTTAGAGGCCCAACCTGAATTTTGATGTGGTCAAATTTTGACTGGGTTCTTGATCCAAAGTTCAGAAATTTTCTTGACGCGATTGGGCCGAGACCCACCTCATAGACAAGTTTAGACTATACGCCTATATCGTACACATTGCTTGTAATAATCATCTTATTCTTTATCAAACGTTTATAATTTAAGAAACTTCAATTTACTCGTAAACATTTTATATATTAGTTATTAATTAAGTCTAGAATATATAAATTTTATCAAGTTAATAACAAATACAACAAAAAAATTCTCAATCAAGTTTTTTTTTTTTTTTAATGTTCATTGACATTTTTGTTAAATTGACCATATTTTGGTGCATAAACATACGTATTAGATCGAAATATGTCAATCTTTATTAACTTTTTTTGTCAAATTTTCTTCAAATAGATATTATTTTAATGCATAAAATATGTATATTGGACTTAAACTATATAAAAAAAAAAAAAATTGATTAAAGAAAGCAATTGAGAATTGTTGGAAATGTTTGAGATTTGATAAATAAAATTTATAGTTTTTGAATATAATTGGGAATGTGGATATAGGTTATGTATTAAATTGAGGTTTTTTTTCTAACATGAGAAAAGTGCATTAAATTACTAACGTTAGATGTTTCTTTTTGAGCCGTGTAATTGCTAATAGTTGAATGTGATTGAAATTTAAAACGGGTGCACTTGTTATAGATCTTTCATTTTTTTTCCCTAAGATGAATATGATTAATGTAACCTCATCCGAATTCTTTCCTGAGTTTTTCTTCCTTTTTTTAAGTAAGGTTATTTAAAATCGTTATTTTCAGAATAAGATTGTTTTAGTTATTTTTCAATCTAGGCTATTACATGCCATTTAAGCTCTAACTTGATAATTTTTATATATTTTTTTTATCTCGATGTACTAATAAAACTTTAATTAAATCTAAAATTGTTTCACAAATAATAATAACAAATAATAATTGTTTTAAACTTTCTCATTTTACTTGCGTTATGGCAATTTAAATAGCACTATCTGATACATTTAAATCTTTTACAATTATAAATCATTCTTCATAAAAACATGACACATTTCAATTACAAAATTATAGACATCATCTGGTTGCACACAAGTTACTCCAATAAAGTTTTGAACGAGTTTCCTTTATTAAGTAAGTGTATTTAGGGTTAAGAAGTATAATTTTGGATATATTGTCCGCATAAATTAAAAAAATTTGCAAAATAAAACAAAATATTTGTATTTATGTGAAGCCAATCTCCATATTCCACTAGACCAATTTTGCTTTCTCTTTCGCTATCTTCTCTTAATGCTCTAGCTCAGAATCTTAAGACATAAATATGGCCTCTTTTCCTACTCTAGCTTCTCAACATTTCATTTCTTCAATCACGTTTATGAAAAATAATTGCTCTTCTAAAATTTTGTTATCAAACCAATTTCTTTTCTATCACATTCTTAGAAATCCTAATTTAGAACATCAACAAAAACAATAATAGTGCTTATTTTTTACAGATTACCGGGCAGAGCTATAATTTATAAAAATTATTTAACGTAATGAAATTATTTTTTAACAACTAAAAAAAACAATCAAGTCAAATCTCTGAATCCCTTCTAATTTTTTACAGATTACCGGGCAGAGCTACCTTGTGCTTTTGGGCAGATGTTCAAAAAATCTAAAAATTTCCCCATATTTCAGTCCATTTTTGCCTCCTAATTCGTAACAATTTTCATATTTTAACCCCTATCGTCATATTGTTAATTTAATTTTCATTCATATCCTTCTCAATTCCACTTAAATCATGGCCTCTGAAATTGAAAATTCTGATTCGGCCTCTCGAAGAGAAACGAAATTCATCCTGACCGCCAAAACTCTGAAGAAGGCGGTAGAAGCTTGGAGACAAGTGCACTTTATGCCGGTCCAATCCAACATTTCATGTTTCCCTTTAACCAGTTAATAGTGCACACGTCGTCTTTAGGACCCACATATGTGATGCTAATAAAACTAGTGGAGCCCACAGGAAATTACATTTGCCCTTAACCCATTGGTTGAGATCAAAGATTTTTCTAGCAACTAGACTTTCACCATACCCTTTACTTAAATTTTACCTGAACGACGGCTCGGCACTTCTACATCTTGCCAATTCGAGAAGGATCGCCAGTCTCCATCTTCACTGCTTCGTCTTGAAGCCTCGCGAACTTGCCACACATGACACAGCACGTGTACCTAATCACACAAATGCCCTCTTCTTAGCCTATAAAAACCTTTCTCCCTCCACCAACAATTCGATCGTACCAAAGTAAAAAACACAAACAAACAGATCAAACTTAGCAATTAGCCAGCTTACGCCTAGCAAACCTGTTTCTTTAATCTCAAAAAACAAGAAACCAAGAAAATGTCTCTCATTCCAAGCACCTTCCTTGGTGGCCGAAGGAGCAACATCTTTGATCCTTTCTCTCTTGACGTCTGGGACCCTTTCCAGGACTTTCCCATCACAAGCACAGCTCTATCAGTCCCACGCTCAGAGTTCGCCAACGAAACATCAGCAATTGCCAACACACGCATAGACTGGAAGGAGACCCCTGAGGCTCATGTTTTCAAGGCCGATCTTCCAGGGCTGAAGAAAGAGGAAGTGAAAGTGGAGATTGAGGAAGGTAGGGTTTTGCAAATAAGTGGAGAGAGAAGCAAAGAGAAGGAAGAGAAAAATGACAAGTGGCATAGGGTGGAGAGGTCAAGTGGCCAGTTCTTGAGGAGGTTCAGGTTGCCTGAGAATGCAAAAGTTGATCAAGTTAAGGCAAATATGGAAAATGGGGTTCTGACTGTGACTGTGCCTAAAGAGGAAGTCAAGAAGCCTGATGTTAAGGCCATTGACATCTCTGGCTGAGACACTTACAGACGCGAGGAAAGGACTTTTTGTGCAGTGTTGCAGTGAGTCGTGATAGAGTCGAATAAAGAATTGTGTGTGGAAAGACTTGTGAAATGGGAATCATGGGATATTGTTGTGTATTTATGTGTTTTGTTTAATGTGTACTACTACTACTGAGTTTTTTTCTTAATAAAGTTGTGCTTTGTTTTTAATCGTCGTTCTTCTTCTTGTTTTTTCCCCCACCTTTACAAGATGGTATTTTATTTTCCCTAATCCATATTTTTTATAATTTCGATTGTATGATTTTTTGCTTTCTTATGAATTCTGCCAAATATCGAAATATTTGGCAAAGCACTCTCATTCTCGATGTTTCATTCTTCAACGATAAGATCTGCTTATGTTGGTGGATGATGCATGAGCAGACACAACCTTATTCTTCTTCGTCTCAAGCTCCTAGTGCCCAACCTCGTCTGCCAATGTTTGGAGTTCAGTCTAGCTTGAAAGCTCAGACCAGTACGCAAACTAATCTGGGCCAAAAGCCCAGGTTCTTTTCAAAATTGTAAGCCTGGAATCTTGGGCAATCTCAAGAATCACGAAGTAAAACATGAGCCTGCTAACGCGACGCATGGGCCAATAAAAACTCGGTAATGCTAGGCTTGGGCCTATTATGCTGAAATTCAAAATCTATAGTTTAAAGCCCATTATCCTTGGGGCCGAGTTCCAGATACCAACTGCGTCAAGGTCCTAAATCCTAGGAGCCAGTTGCGCTATCACTGGCGGCTGTGGCATTGACGTTACCACAGATTGCGTCAACAGTGAAGGCAAAACCAACCTACTCAATCAACCTTATTTATGGCTAATAAACAAGTTAGACTGAAGTAGATGCACATGTTCAAAAAATTTAGAAGACCGTAGCAACCATCTTGCAATTGAATTAGACCCATCATGAGGCATAACCAATTAATTGTCTGACTTTGCGAGTTAATTGCTGCTGAGTTATTGCAGCAAACCCACCTTGGAAATTTGTTGTTAAGACGGCCTCGATTAATCTTTGGGAACTAGGGGTGGCGTTGCCCGGCCAGCTAAGATTTACTTTTTGTTTTCCGTTTGTTTTAAATAGCTCGTGTGTGTGTATATATATATATTTTGCGTTTCCCGGGAAAAAAATAGTAAGAAGAAAAAAAGTACATTTGCTTCGTAATATTAATAATATCTAGTCTAGCGACAAGCAACATGAAAGATACGTCTTTCAGGTGATGGAATAAATTGTGTTCATCATGCCTTATAACATGAAATTAGACACGGAAATTGCTTGTTTGAGTTTGTCTAAAAATGGAAAAAATTATAATTCTCAAAAAAAAAAACTAAATCACAGATTCAATCGATATTCATAAATATAGTTTAATCATTTGATAATGGATTCAATATGTAATGGATCTATGATGTAATGTATTCGATTAATCATCATAGAGAGTCGGTTTGTTTCCATAAAGTAAATTATTATTTTTTATTTAAATAAATAAAAAAAACCATTGTCACATAAAATAAATCAAAATATTCAACTATTATTTTGGTGTGAAGCTGTAAGTGCAAGGATTGATTTACCCAAAAAAAAAAAAAAGGGAGAGTGGGGATTAACTTCTTGATTTACGATTCTACCTTTCTTACAATCTCCTTATATTGATAGCAACATGATGGTGTTGCGAATTGCGATGGAGAAAAAAATTCAAATCATTGCAGTTAAGCACGCTACCCATGATGATTATCATCATATAGGGCACCAACAAAATTAGGCACAATTTTATATGGATTTAATTAATCATATGATACTATTTTGTATATATTCAATTTCTCCATAAAAATTGATTAAAATCTTCATTAATTTATTATTATGGATCCAAAGCATAGGGTAAACAAATTGAATTAAGGATGAATCTCATCTAGCATGTGGTTCTAAACAATATAAGGATGGACATAAATATTTTTAAAAAGTTAGTATTCATATCTTATTGGAATACATTAGAAAGATTGATTTAATGGATTTGTAACAAAATCTACTATAAAAAACCTAATTATTACATTTCTTAAATTTTGTTAAAAAACAGAAGCAATATAATTTAAAATAAAATATTTTTTTACTTAAATCTAGTTGTTCAAATATAAATAATATGATGATTTTAGAAATTGAGAATTCTCAATTTATTATAAAATACTAGATCCCATAACATTGTGAGGAGAATTTTAACTTTTAATCTGGATTAAAATAGTTATCTCCTTTCAAAACTCTCATTTATGCAATAAATATCAACTAAAACTCTATTCAAATGTTTATCCACTCAACTACTTATCACTCTGCCTATATTTTGTTAGTATTATTTGTTTTTCTTTTTCAACTCTTATTATTTATATTCACGTTAATTTATTAGTTAATTGTTATTCCTATGAATTAGGACAATAATTTTTTTATATTTTAGTTAAATTTAATTTCGTTCACAAGAACTCATCCTTGTACATATCTTATGTTTACAAAAACCTAAGTCCCTATCATGATGAATTGTTTTGACTCAGATTCATATGATATGACTTGATCACATGCACAAGCATGGAAAAGCAAAGAAACGAAGTACGATTCGAGATCCACAGAGTTGACCCCAACATCGCCTCAAATGTGTTTTGATTACCAAACTATTACATACGTCAGTGTATATATATTTGGTACGTACGTGTAATCCAATGATACACTTATTTTCTGCGAGCTATAAGCAAGCAAGCGATCGATCAAAACATGCAAGTACAATGAAAGAGGTCGCTAATCTAGAACCACAAGGAAGAAATAGGGTAATCTCTAATCACGCTCATAAAATACCGGAAAGAAGATTTATTGCAATTCTTAAGACGACATGGGCCTAAAATCAAGTAGACTTGACCCAGAATACAAGGGGAAAACGTATTTGCATAAAAAAATGAGGTCATGTGTGGTATAGGTTAAGAATTTTGGCATCTGGCAACTCATTTTAGCTTTGCATTCTATGTATTCTTGATCGGTTTGGTTGCTTGCAGACCATTTCATATATTGAATAGAGTAGTTCGTTTTCCTAATTAAAGAAAGACCCTTTTATATTGCCCGAACTCCAAACCAATGGAAGCGTAGCTCTGACTGTACAAGTTTGAATTAGGGACCGGAACCCTAATTATGGAACTAACCCCCACCCACTCTCCCTATATTTCGAATTCAAGTTTTAAATGAGGGGGACTTCCACTAACATTGCTTTCTCCGAATATTCTAAAGTTTGCTTTTATCAATAAGAGTTATCCTTAAAAAAAAAAAAAAAAAAAAAAAAAAAAAAAAATCTATGCCATTTACCTAATAAAGATTGCAATCACAGAGTTCTTATGGCTAATTTACTCGTCGCCAATTTATCACCCTCACTCGAAGCATGTATTTTGTCCAGCTTTGATAAAACGCTTTCATTTTTTTGTCTCGTGACGTGAGATAATGAAGATATTAAATAAATAGAAATCAAGTTGATACACTTTTATAAAAATTTAATGAAAGGTTATTTATGCTAATTAAATATACCTTTTTCTTCTTCTTCTTCTTCTTTTTAATCTCAAATTATGTTTTTTTTTAACATATCATGAGATAATGATCCTATTATCATTTAATTGACAAAAACTTAACCAGGATATCATATTAAGAAAATATGAACTAAACCTGTTGACTAAATTATAAATTAAGAAATGAATTAATTAGTCCATTTGGTTTTTAAATTAAAATTTTAGTTGTTTTTTTTATTTTTAATTTATTTTGATTTTTTGTTTTAGAAATAAAAAAATAAGTAAAAAATATAAAAAAAATTAATGAGAAAAGAAGATATTTTATATAAAAAAATATTAACTTAGTCGTGGGATTAAAAAACCAAATAAGTAATTTTTAAAATTAAAGAGAATAATTTATTTATTTATTGAAATGAGAGCGATTAATTTACTCAATCCTGTTAAGTGAAGTAAATAGACATTGAAAAAAATATATATAGAAGCTGACATTCACACCGCTTTTTTAGGTTTGTTTAGATTTATTTTTTGTCACTTGTTTTTGCTTAAGGATGATGTGTGGGAAATCATTGACAATGAGTACTATAATTATTATTTGTCAAGGTCTATTGATTGTTGGCATGTAAAGATGGCGAGTCTTGTTCCTTGTTTTGTGCACAAGATAAAAATTGCTTGAATTGATCAGCAGATATTTATTTTTATTTTTTTATTCATACAAGGTTCATGAGTTCTTTAAACTGCATAATAAGAGGTAGTTTTTTATTCCATAATTATCAACGAAATTTAAAATTATTAAGACTTTAATCTTATTTTGTTAAAAAAATTAACTAGAAATTCAATGTTAAATTAAATATGAAAGATTTAGTTAAAAAATAATTTGATTTACCCACATCCGCCATTTGATTTTCGCTTTCAACTCTTCATGATTGCCCGACAATTTATTATCAATCATCCATTACTAAATAAAACGCCAATGCTTTAATCATCCATGTCTCCCAAACATTTGCTTTATAAGAGCTGTGGAAATTTTATTTTCAAATTTTTAAGACAAATAATTTTGTTCAATAATCAAATTAAAAGCACGTTTGAATTTAACTGATTAACTTGGAACTCTTTTTTTAGATGTTAATTATCGGGATATATTTAAGTCAAGCTTTCACCTAACTAGATTAAGTATCTCTCTAATTGAATTTTAGGCTCACCATCTATACATATTTATTCTTGTGTATTCATGAGAAATTAATTTTTTTGTAACCCTCACTGTATTCCAATATTGGATGTCAACATACCCATTTAAGAATTGGTAAGTTGTGCTTTATGAATATGAGTTGCCTATACCATCGTAGTCTCAAAATCCAACATTAACATGATATAAAGGATTATATATACATATAAGGTAATGTTCTATTACAATTTTATATTTGGTTGTATATTTTTTTTATCATAGTGATTTATTGCGTTATAAACATTATAAATAAAAAGCTAATCGCAACCGTTCTCAATCTTTTTGATTGACTGATTTCGAGGCCAATCAATTAGATATTCTTGTTTCACACATTTTGTATAGTAATCTTATCATATTTGGGAGTTTATTTTATCAAAAGTAATTAATTAATTCCTATAATATAAAAAATAATTAAATAATTCATTGACTACTGTTAACTATATTTAACTTAGTAGTATTGTGGTCTAAAAAAATACATTCTTTTCTTATCCATCTTATCATAATTTCTTTTCTTTTCTTTCTTAAAAAAAAAAATCAATTAAAAAGAGACATGACATTCAGAAAAAAGAAAGTTAAAATTGATTTAAAAAGATATGGATTAAATAAAATAATTTATAAAACCCTGAAAACTAATTAATAGTTTTGGTAAACTACAGAGTTAAGTTATAATTAACCCTAGTTACGTTGTGGTATGGTTAACTGAGATGTCCTAATTTGTAAATATCTATCCTTATCCCGTGCATCGCTGCTGTATCTATCCATGAAGAGGTAGATAGAGGGGAGGGAGGAAGGGTAGTGATGTTTGACTAAGTCAGCAATTGTTGAGTCCACGGAGCACCAAATCACAACTACCGAAGATGTCTATCAGTTACTTTTTGAAAAAAAGAACCGGGAAAACCATTTAATAGACTACTACTGAATATGGATCATGGAAAGTGACCCAAAACGCATAGCTGCAAGCACTACACGTGTCCAATCAAAACCAGCCACAAGAACGTACGGCAAAGTAGTATATTTTATCCTCCACCACTACTCTACGCTGCTTCCCGCTTAAGCAAGATATCCTTTCTACATCATCCCTCAACTTTTTCTTGAAGCTTTTCCTTTTCTATGTTTTTTTTTTAATAACGCAACAATTACGTACTTATCTTACAGGCAGATTTCCCTCCCCGCAAAGGATCCATTACAGTCTCTTGACTAACATGCTGCTACTATATACTATGATTAAAAAGAAACATAATTAGTATATTTTATAAGGTCCCTGTTGAATATAGTTGACACGCATGGTTGTGTACTAGAGGACAAAGTGGGCCCATCTCAACTAAGTTCGTAACATTGATCCGCGAAACCAAAAGCAAAAAAATTTGAAATTGGAAGCTCGCATTCCAAAAAGGCCAATTCGCTCCGCCCTAGTTCAAACTTGAGCCTGCCTGTGGTTAACAACTGCTGGCTAGCTGGGCATGAAATAGAAAGCTGAAGCTCAGCTGTAAAGCAAGAACTGACACATTAACCAATTTAAATTGAAGTCATGGCTGGATTAGTTTAGCAGTCTAGTCCAAAAGAATAAAGAATGTGCACAAGGCAAAAAGATCTACTGCAAGTCTGCGACGGTGCTGAAAAAGCTACCTCCTTCACAAGACAACAATTTGTAGAGTGAGAACATGATCAGTAAAACGAGGAGTGCCTTGTAATGGAAACTAATAAAGGTATTTTATTGCTTTATAATATTAATTGCCAAGGGATGGATATTACAACATAGAGAGCTCTGTATTCCCTCTCCTACAACCTCCTCCAATGACCCAATCAAAGAACCTCCCCCACATCAAGTGAAAAACAAGCAACGCCTTGTAAATCAATCAACACAAACCCAACCCATTTTCCCCCTAGCTTACTAAAAACCAACCCTTTAAACATAACTTAACCACCACCACCACCACCACCACCACCACCACCACCACCACCACCCTCCTATTATTACAACAAAATAGCAATCCCTTGATCTACTACTACTGCTACTATTAAATTGCTTCCTTTTTGACCTTCATCTAAAATCTAGTCCACAAAAGCTTCCTTCAATCTCCCTAAAAAAAAAGCTGGATCTCTTATTGCTTTCTTTAAACTAAAGTCGCATTCTTGAATTCATTTCCTTGTACAAACCATAAATCCCTATAAAACTTCTACCTTCTATACTTTGCTTTCTTTATCCAACCAAAACAAACACCATCATCATAACAGTGAGAGTGTGACACATAATTGATGGGTCAATATGTCCACTCTTGAGGCAGGCGTATTTCATGATTGACTACACTCTCTTGCCGTAAATTTCGCTTCTGCTGTGCCAAAAGTGCATTTCTTCTTGCCATCAAAGCATCTACAAAATTACAAACCTCTAAAGCGTAAGAAATACATCTCTTTTTTTATTAAATCTTAATCATAAATTAACAACATTAACCACAGCGTTAAAAACACAAAATCAAGAAACTTGATTACCATAATCTGAGGGAAAAGAAGCATTATTATTGAGGCGTGGCTGAGCAACGCCATTAAGATCCATGTCATCAAAGTTCAAATTTAGAGCATGAACAACTTTAGCTGGGAGCAGAACTGTTGAGCAACCTGTTGATGGAAAAAACACGCACATAATGTGAGCTTCAAAATTATAAAAATAAGAGAATAAAAATCAATTAGGCGAAAAATGATTAGCATTAACTATATACCAGATTTCTTCTTGGGGTCCGGGGGTTGCCATATCTACGAGGCAAAAAAACACCAGTGCCAGCACTCTCTCTTTTAACACCAGATCCACCAAGAAAAACAGCTCTCATGCCTGCTGAATTAGAATGTTGATTTTGTGGGTTTACTTGAAGAGGAGGCCAAGCAGATTGAGGCAGTCCGAGAGGACGCCCACACCTCCCATTTTCATACCCAACATTTCTGCCTCTGCTCTGGATCTGTTGGTGGTGGTGATGGTGGTGGTGGAGTTGGGGCTGAGTTTGCCAGTTTGCCTTCGCTTGTTGCCTTTCCCAAATTGAAGAGCACTGTTGCTTTAGCGCCTGTTGCTCTTGCCTCACAAGTTGCTGGTACTGCAAAACAAGACAAATTAGCCTAATACAATACTTTCATTGCGCATATGTAGCCTAAACAAAAGGAAACTCATTTTAATTGGTTTTCCTTTCTATTTTCACTTCTTTACCTGATTGACTTGTGAAACATTATGGCCAAAAGTAGTGCTACTCTGGCAAGGAAAAAACCCAGCATTCTGATTCTTGACTGAAGTGAGACCAGGATTTTGAGACCTGGCCGGACCAAGTAGACCCCTCCCTTGATAGCTAGTACTATTATTGTACTTGTGGCCTTCACTACTGTTGCTCATCTTTAACCTAGCAACTTGACCAGCAGCAGCATAAATCAGATCCCATGTATCATTCTTGGAACCAAACGGCGTAGATGGCGGCGACAACACCCCGTTTGGACTCCCGTTGCTTGATACGGACCAGCTTCCGAGTCCACTCAGTGTCGACTCCGGTGACCCGGCCATGACCCACTTTTTCTATCAAATAAAAAAAGATGGTAACACCGTTAGAGAAAACGGCATTAAAGCAGAATAAGAACAAAATCAAAAGCAGCAAACACTTCAAATAAAGAGGTAAAAAGGAGTGAGATGTACCTCAGGTTTGACAGCAAGTTGCTGAGTCAGGCGCCGAGTTAACCCAGCAAGAAAGTCGTCCTCGTCACTGCTCTCTGTCTCGGTAGAGGAACCCATAACGGACTCAACAGGAGAGCTGAGCGCTGAAGATGAGCCAAACGAGTCAAACTCATAAGGGAACTCGGTAGGGAAGCTCAGACTCGGTTTCAACTCAGTGTTGAGAACGCTTTTGTAGAAGTTCTCTTTGTCCATGAGTAACTCTTCCTGTGTAAGAAACTCAGTTGGAAGCCAAGATTCTACGTCTTCATGAGCAATAGCCATCAATACTACGTATCTAGCTTGCTATATCACCGTATCTAGCTTGCTATATCACTGTAAGGATCTCTCAAGGGACTTGGGAGGGAGGGAGGGAGGGGGTGAAAGAGAGAGAGAGAGAGAGAGAGAGAGAGGGTTGGAGGTGGAGTGGAGATGGAAATGAGAGTTGCTGGAAGGAGAAGATTTAATAATGACCTAGCAGAGTTGGCTGGGTTTGCAGACTGTGAGGGACCCAACAAAAGAAAAGGAGAAAAAAACAGATAGAGTGTGAGTGAGTAGAGAATGTAGAAGACAAGCTGCTTTTATTAAGGTTTCTAGGTCTGTTCTATTGATTCAAAAAAAATATATATATATATAAATAAATAAATTTACTAGCTTATTTAGTATGTGCAAACAACTGGAAGGAATGGCCCGCTGGTTAAAAGACATCAGACATTTGTCCTGCTGTGTAATCCAACTGCCATTTGTTCATACTTGGACTACCAAAAACTTTAATTATTTGTTAATGTTGTGGCGGTGTGAGTTGATTTAAGGTTAGCAGCAAGTTGTAACGGGTAATTACTTTCTTACAGTGGATTACTGCATTCTGATGATCATTCTTTTTGTCATCTGGTGGATTTTTTTGAAATTTGCAGACACTGATTGCGTAATTTTTCTTGCTTCAACCATTTCTTTTGTGTGAAATTTTTATGGTAAATGGTTTGCTATTTAAAAGAAAGTACCTGCATAAGCCAGAGAAAAAATATTAAAAAACATGTGTTTGGAACCTTGGATCGGTATCTTATGGTTTAGAGAAAAAATGTCTTCTTGCGTTTTACAGAAATTAAGGATTCGGTAATTCGCACATCAATCCATTACAAGTTCTCTTATTACAAAAAAATAAAGGAAGCGGACATTTTGACTTCAAAAACAAATCATAAATTTTCTAAAAAAGAAAATCATTAAGCATCATATATTATATATGAGTGATAACTCTATTAGGATAGCAGATGAAAAAAACCTTCCAAAGATTTTTGAAATATATAGTATTAATTAATTAATTAACTGCACGTCATCTGCAATTCCCATCGTTATTGGGTACACGGCTAAATTTCAATTGGAGATTATCTGGTACACGTGGATGGAGTGGCTACATGTATAATGTATCAAGAGGGTTAATCAGAGCAAGTGATTGAAATATCTTCCTTGTCAGGTAAAAAACTTTAAAAAAGAAAGAAATTTACCAATATGTTGATGAGTATGCTGCAAGGATTCAGCGAGGTAAACAAACAAATCTCAACCTTATTGTTTCAAGTGAAGAGATTAATACGTCTGATGTTTTTTTTTATATGAATTTGTAAATGGATTAATTAAGTTGTATTTTTAATCTATTGACTTAAGAAGACATCATAAGTACGTATGGTTATACAAGTTTAAATCAAAAAGCTATTTGAAACGAAGTAAAAATTTTATTTTAATAGAAAATTAAAATTTTTTTCATCTTAACTTATCCATTCTGATTTATATTTTTTTTAATACAATTATTGGGAGCCAATTCTCTCAAAATATGTTATAACTTATTTTTGTTCATAAATTTATATATAAAAGAAAACATTTGAACAATAAATCAAATTCAAAAATTACTTTTTATAAATCAATCTAAACAAACTCTAAATTTCATATTTGCTCATTATTAGCATTGACGAGTCCTAAAAACTTAATTAATAATCAACCCTCTATAGTTAGAAAATGATGATTAAGATTAATTGTTTCTCGTGTTCTTTTTTACGCGATGTACTTACAAAATAAATCTTTTGTGTGGGTTAAAAGACCTTCCAAGTAATAAAGCTAATAATACAAAAAAAGGTATGGTCGGATTTGTTTTTTCTAAGTTTTTGTGTGTAGTAAAAATAATAAATGGTATGTAATTTTAGATTACATAAATATAGAAAACTCGGAACCTTGATCGTTAGGGTTCTTATACGAGCGAGGTTTCTTCAAGTTGTATGGTGGAGAGGACATAAAGGTTTATATCATTGCTCTTGAAAGTCTTTGATGCCAATTTGTGCGACTTGTATCCTTGACGTGACTTGCTCTCCGATGATACTAATATTGTCATAGTTGGCACGGATTAGACAAAAACAATCTTAGAAAGGTATTTTCATTAAATGTTTACCCTTTTTCTCATGGTGGTTTATGCATTCGGTTCCTATTTATTTGGGACGAGTATCCTTCAACATAAGGGCTTTGGTGTTCCCTCGAGACGTCGATCAATCATTGAAGGAGAAACAAATCTCGTTTATAGATGCAATGCGTATAGGAGATCTACATTGACATGTGTTATCCGGACTCGCTAGTGAGATCGATACGTGTCATCCGATCTCATCGATAGATCCCTTAGTCTTGGGAAGCATGCCCGGCTTTGACTAGAATGAGTTGCCTATGCTTTTGGATTGGCATATTTTCAATTTGAAAGGTCATCAAAACTATAACTAGTCTCTCTATTTCACATGTGCCAATGGTGTTAATGCATCATTTAATATTTGGCACTTCAAAAATCATTTTATTTTAGAAAATAAGAGCAAAAGTTTGCATGCGATAAGATTTTAGAGGCATAAAAATTTATTCCTTTCTTATTCCTTCGAAAGACATTGATTATCATCTTTGTTGATCGGCATGCTTGATCCACTCTCATATCTAATTAGGCCACGTCAAATTAAGTTTGTTGCTAAGACCTTGTGCATTATAAATTTAATTATACGGTAGCATGATTTTTCATCTATATATACATCGTTATGAGATTTCTCATTTTAGTTTTCATCGAGTCTTGGTCTTTGTTATAAGGCATATTTGGTAATTTGTCTAATGCTATTTAGGGTTTAGAGAAGTTCTCTTTCAATACTCCTTTTATTTTAGCCTTCTTTTAGCTTTGTTCAAAAATCCTTCATCTAAGTCAAGAACGTTAGTAGAGAAAGTTTCTCTCTCAGTAGATTATCAAGGTGTTGATAGCTAAACCTTTTTTTGGTTCTCTTTCTTATTTGAATAATCATGAATGCTTAGAGAGGGTTAGGAGTGTGTTTGGAGCAATACTCAATAGGACTTTTAAGGAAGATGTAGGTTATAGTATGGGTGAGACATCTCATATTCAAGATGATTAGAGGCTTGTGTCTTTTTCTAGTGTAGGAGGATGTAATAGTGTGCATAGGACAAGACTTTGTGTTTCTAGTCGAATGTCAAGGAATGATTATCTCCCAATTATAGCTTATCAAAATGATATGACGAGCAAGACATTTTCTAAGTAGGTGAATCGTTCGTGTTGTTTTGAGAATTTTTGTAGACAACTTGCCATTATCGCAACTCTCAAACTTTGAAGATTCTTTTATTATCCGACCGGAGGTGTTGGTGAAGGAGACAAGAAGGCCCATGCATACACTTTTATTCCTATTGGATCAATCCCATTGAAAGGATCGTTTACAAGGGCTTAGGAGATGGTTAGCTATTGGAAGAAAGTGTGGTTCATAGTATGGTATAGAGCAAAAGCACCTAAAAGTAGAGGTTGGGCAATTTTTAGGTGTAACCCTTTGTGAAGGATGTTTTGAGGCGATTTCAATACATTTTTTTTGTTAACTAATACTAAAAATGCTTTTTAAGGCATGGTAAGGAGTAATAGAAAGAAGTATTAGATGAAACTACTTGTTAAAGGTTGTCATTGACCAATCGTTTGCGGGATAAATGATTGGACTTTAAGTTTTCAAATTTGTATAGGTTTTTCTTGACTTTAATTATTGAATTTTCTACTTTCTTCTTTTCGTTTAGCTTGTCATGTGAAGAAGATGATGACCTTTGTTGGTTTTTTATAAAGCCTTTTATGCCTTGTACAAAGAATATTCCTATTAAAGAGTCGACTCAAACTCATATCTTCTTTTATAACCCTACCCACATGACGAGTTCCGATTAAGATTTTGGGATGGCTCTTGGAATTCCTCAAGAAATAGATCTTAAAGAGATAGATGTCCGTCTAGCTAAGAGACATAGGGTTAGTCGTAGAGTTCATAGGGCAAGAAATGTCTCTAAAGCAAGGGATGCCCTTGTATGCTTTGAGGAGGAGCGAGATCATCTCTTCTTCAATGAAGCGACAAGTTGTCCCTTCCTCGGATAAGTATTCCGGACCATAGGGGTCTTGGTATTATTTAGGAACACTAATCAATCGTTAAAAGAAGAACAAATCTCGTTTCGAACTATTATATATGTCACTAATTACTCTTTAAGTATTATAAATTTTTCGTGTATAGAAGATTTATATTAACACGTGTCGTCCAACATGTCATCCGGACCCCTTAATGGAATCTAGACGTGTCATGGAGGCTCATCAATTATATTCCATGCTATGGTGTAATTCACATGACCAATATATCTAGAAAATCATTCATAATGCATTGAAATCTCGACAAGGTTCCCGAGTCTATTACTCGTCAAGTTACGAGGAAACAACAAAAAAGCATCAAGCATGTAGTAACCAAACTATATATTTTGCACACCAAAATTTACCTATATTTTCATGATGAACACTTTTCCCGTTTTCATGATCATGCATGTTCTCATAATCATGCAAAAGGCATGGAGATGATTTATTGACCACGAGATGTCCAACCATGTCGTTATCATATTAACCACACCGAATGTAAATGTTATTAAACCGTTTTTAGCAAATCAATGAATATACTTCTAGTACCCATTTTTTTTATTCCTAAATTTCGGATTAGAGAGGAACTCATTTAGTCATTTGGAGTTAAGCTAATCAAGGCTATGCCTATAAAGGTCGGTTTGGCTCGGTCATGTTTGAATTTCACTCAACTCGTCGCGATTATATATAGTCGTCCTACGTGGTTGGTCTAGAAATGTCATGGTGTCGAAATCATAAACCATAGCCACAAGCCGGGATTCGGAGAGGGGTTTCA